ATTCTTCACGAGATCTGCCGAAAAGAAGAAATTGCTGCCCGATTTGAGAGCAAAAAAATATTGAGAAGAGATGAGAGAAGGAAGAAGAAATTAGAGAGGAGAGAGGGTGAGCACAGAGAGAAGAAAGGATGCGTGCAGAGGAGCGTGAAGGACCGGCGGAAGAAAACTAAATAGAAGGGTATAATTGGAAGAATAAATGGTACACCTAATTATAACTCTTATTTAGGGAATAAATAAACATGAACTCCCTTTTTGGCACTTTTCTATTGTTTGAGTCCTACTTAGGACAATTTCTTATAGAACAACAACATCGAGTCTTAATCTCAAAAGATTTTGGGTCGGCTAACATGACAAATTAATTGCGACCACTCATTAGAATTTGCGACTTACTGCCCCCGTCCCACAAAATAGTTCCCAATTTCCTTTAGAACATCTCCAATGCTACAATGTGCACAGTGCACATGTGGCATGAGAGATAACCACATAAATATTAGTAAATAAATTCTTTATCTCCTTATTTGAATGGTTTTATGCAGTTTTGGTAAGTCTTTCTCCACAATATCAAGGAGACTGTCTAGATGTTGACATTGCAGTTGACATTGCAGGGGAAAACTTATCAAAATTGTATAAAATCATTCAAATAAGGAGATAGATAATTTATTTGCTAATATTTATGTGGTTATCTTTCATGCCACATGTGCACTGTGCACACTATAACATTGGAGATGCTCTTATGGGTCGTCCCAAAAAATAGTTCTCATTTCTCTTTTTGGAAAGTTTTGTGTGACTACCATTCATTTATCTTTTTCTTAATTATTGAACCACAACCATATATTTTCACTTTATTTCAACTTTCTTAAACTCCGACCCAAATCCTTGTGAGAATTATTTTATAGGATAGGAGTATTAATTGTCATGATTAAATTAATTTTTGAATTAAGTACTATTCTAAGAAAGTGAGTACAATAAGTGAGTAGCATATGAGAGAGAAAACAATAGTTCCCCCCTCCTCCGCCCCCTCCTCATGAAGTACAAAGAGAGTTAACATTTTTTCATATCAATTTAAAAAACAATATTTCAAATCAATCTACTAAGTTGTTTAAGTAAATACCCAAAACTATATACATGTTAAAAGAAACAAAATTTCATTTATATGGATATCTGGAAAAAGAAAATTTCATGTGATTGCATTGATTTTTGTGTGTTTATATTTTTACTTTTAATTAGTTTTTACGGTGTGTTGTTGTGGTAATTGCACATTTACGGTGCAATCATTTTATTTTTCTAGGTTGTTGTAATTTAGTAAATTTAGAATCATCTTGAGCAAGAATCAATCAAGGATCAACAAGGGATCATGGAAGAGATCTTACAAAATCAAAGGAAGATGCAAGGGAGCAAGAAATTAAATCATGCAAAAAATGTGATTTGGTGTCATACCCGGTCGGGTATGACTTGACCCGGAGATTTAGTAGATCAAATAAAGCAAGAGAACGTGGGAAAATCAGATTTGGACATATATCCGGTCGGGTATATTGACATACCCGACCAGGTATGACTAGATTTCAGCACTTTCGTGGCTACTGTCATAGATACCCGGTCGGGTATCCTCTATACCCAGTCGGGTATCAGTCCCAACCTTACCAAAACACCTATAAATACACCTCTTTTCCTTCCCATTTTGATATCCCTTCTTCCATATACTTAAGCTCAACTTTTAATAATATTTTCTTTATATTTTTCTAGCATGTTTAGTCTCCAAATGAGGAGCTAAACTTCCATTTCTTGGTTTTGCTCTTGAAGCTTGTTGATTATTAAAGTTGTGAGTTATTTTCTTAACTTTTCTTCTTGAATATTAATTCTTCCCTTAATCTCATTTCTATATTAATGTTGGGGTGTTGCTAAGTGACATTTAGTTAACACTTCAACATTAATTATTACAAGAAACGATTAATGAACCGATGGTTAATCATTGATGGTTTCACAAGTAAGTAACTTCGGTTTATTAATGCACGATCGTGGTTAATAGACTTAAGAGGGATTAATTTTGTTGGTTAAACCGAAACCATTGTGTTGAGGTTAACAATCTCAATTGATTTCATCAAGGAGTTAAAAAGATTAAATGCTATTATTAAATCGATATATGGCGTTGTTCTATATTTGATTAATAGTAAGTGTTGTTAATAAACGGTCGTTGTTAATAACTACCCTCGATGAATTGGAGATACTCCTCGATTGAGTATTCGAGAGGGGATAAGTTATAGATATAACAAGGATCGGCTAAATATATCAACAAGTGAAAAGTGACAGAGCCAAGTTCTTTTTATCTTTGAATTAAATCACATATAATTTGTTCATCTTAGTGTTTAATTAAATTAAATTATTCAACCCCAAAACCCCCCTTTAATTACTAGTTCATTTAAAAGAGAATTATTCATTTCCATGTGGATACGAACTCTACTTCACTATACTACGTATAAGTGTTAGTATCGAATTTATTTTGAGGCACACAACGACTTTAGTGTTGTCACCATGACACGAGTAAACTAAGTCAGATAAATTAAGAGCCCATTTGGTAACACTGAAATCGGCTGAACTGGTTGATTCTGCTGGTTTATGAAAAATTATATTTAAAATATATATTATTATAAAATAAAGAAAAACATATATGAAAAACAGATAAAATGGTCATCTACAGTAACATTTGCCAATATAGGCAGAAAAGTAACTCGAACTTTAGAGAAATCAAAAGTTACGTATTTTGTTAAAAAGTTGGCAGATAAGTCTGATAAGAAGAAAAGCAGAGTCACCAAACGGGCTTTAAATGTATTTTAACGTAATAATACTTGCTGATTGATGGAGTATATGACCCAGGAACTCCCGGCCCACATACTTCCACTACTACAATCAAGCCCAACAAGCCCAAGCGGCCCAAACACAACAAACAAGGCCCCTGATTGCTCCAGGGGACGTAAGTCCTTCAGAACATAAAGGTCCCAGGGGACGTATGTCCTCTAGCACATGAAGGGCCTTGGATACATACGGCCTCTAACACATGAAGGACTTTGGATACGCACGACCTCTAATACATGAGCCTCTCCAGCTACGTACGGCCCTAGGGGACGTACGTCCTGCAGCACGTGGAAGCCCCAGGGGACGTACGTCCTCCAGCACATGGAAGTCCCCAGGGGACGTACGTCCTCCAGCACATGGAAGCCCCAGGGGACGTACGTCCTCTAGCACATGGAAGCCCCCAGGGGACGTACGTCCTCCAGCACATGGAAGCCCCCAGGGGACGTACATCCTCCGGCACAGGCAGCCTTCGGCACATGCAGCCCCCGGGTGCTTGTAGCCGAGGGCACTCTCCTCGACAGGATCTCTTCTCTACATGCTCTGAATCGTCGCATTAAATGCGATGTCAACTCCAACCACCGCATTGAATGCAGTGCCACATGCTGTGTCAGCACCACCCTGGCTGAGTCGACTCTCCACCCTGATTACTTACTACATGTACCCTCACTTATTGTGCCTAGCATCTATGGCTGCTATAAATAACTAGCCCCTTCTCCATTGTAAAGGATCTGATCCCGGATCTGATCCCAGATCTAGCTCACTTAATATCACCTACTCTCTCTCTCTTGTTTGTTGTTCTGACCTCTCTCTTAATATTTCCTACAATATCCCTCGGATAAGCTACCCTCTGGGTACACTATCCATCACTGATTAACTAAATTTACAAAGTTTATTACGGATTACACAAATTATATTAAATATTTTTAGAGGGTCTTTAAACCGTTTTGAACCTTTTTAAAAAAAATAAGCTTTCCCCGACGAGCAGTATAAATAAATAAATATATGTACTATCCTTCATTCTTTAAAAATGACAACAGTTTGACTTTCACGTTTGTTAACGCACAATTGAGATTAGTTTGGCCGAAAAATGCTTGGTGTACACATTTCGTACACCCGTCTATCTCACGCGCATAGAATTGCAGACAACTCTAAAACACAAGTGGTTTTTATATAAGTGTAGTTAGGGCTGTGCATTAACCGGGTCGGACCATATTTTAGACCTAAACCGGACCGGAATGAACCGGTTCAGACCGGAGTGATATTAACCGGTCCGGGTTTCGGTCCTTAGTTTTTCATGATTTTGGGTTCTAGTCTGGTCCGGGTCAAACCCGGAAAACAGGTCCGGACCGGAATGGACCGGTAAACTATTGTTCCGTAAAAAATATACTTCATCCTGTATCATTAGTTATTATGTTTATGGTTTACTTTTGTCTTTTATTATATAAACGAATATATACGGAGTGTATATTTGGTGTCTAATTATTTCCTAAGTTGTTTTTGATTTGTTTATTTATGTACAGGTGTGCACTACTATGATCGTAGTTTATATTTGTTTGATTTTTTCAAATTGCTTTTTATTTGTTTCTTTATTTGCAGGTGTGCATGTAGTTTATACGTAGTATATTTTTGGACGTAATCAAGTTTTTATGACTCTACAATAGATTTTGTCGTTTTAATATACACAAAAGATTATAGTTTGTGGAAAACTAATTGTTACGATTGAATAGTTTTGATGACTATATTCCAAAATTAATAAAAGAGCTAAACAATTATTTAGCATATCCGCACATAAAATTATAGTTTGAAACAACAAGAACAACAACATCCAAACCTTATTCCCAAAAAAATTTGGGATCGGTTAAGAATACTCTAAGATAATGTCTTTTTCTAAACCGAGCAAATTAGGGTCAAAATCGGACCAGATCGGAAAATTCAGGTCCGGACCGGTCTAGACCGATTAGATTCAGGTCCGATCTTCAGTCCATAGAAAATGATGATTCCAGTTCCGGTCCTAACCGGTTTCGGTCGGGTCCGGTCTGATTTTGGACCGGGGCATGTAGTGCAAAAGTGTAGGTAAAATGTGGGCCCATTTCCAACCAGTCACCCACTACCTCTCCAGCTAAGCTAAGGCGAAGAGAAGAAAGGCAGGCAAAAGAAGAAAAACATCCTCCACCGTCACTGCTGACTGCTGACTACGACTACTAATACCAAACAATGAATAAAACAAACTTTTCCTCACTGCATTCTCTCCCTCTTCTCTTCTGAAACGAACAGAGAGGAACAAATCTAGCCAGCTCGTCCCCATCTGCTATCAGGCCCGCCGCAACTCAATCAGACAGAGTATGCTTTTCGTTTATCTCTCTCTCTGCTGCTGTTGCTGTGTGTGTATGTATGTATGTACATATTGATTTTCTCATTTTCTTCGCCGACCGATCTCTGGGGAAGATCGTCGTCTCCTTTTGTTCGTTTCCAGGAGCTTTATTATTCAGTAGCAGTTGATATCCAATTAAGTTTCCACGATCCAATCGACTCATCTTTTTGGCGCTTAGTCGGGATGCTAATTAGCCTAAGCAGCTGTGATTAGTTAGTCAAACTATCGATTTCAATAGAGAACTGCTTAATTCTTCAATGATTCCACACGAATCTGTTTCTCTTTTGTTTTGGATCTTCATCCCCCTGCTACCGTCTGTTTCTTTGATCTTCAATTTTATTTTATTTTGATAAATTTCCTCTTGAAGTATTTGTTTCTTTTTGATTTCCTTTTTGTTTTTTTTTGTCTCGAAAGTATTCTTCTCTTTTTTTATATGAATTCAATATGCATTTATTTTGTAAGGTCCCAATTAATGCTTTAGCTAGCACCTGGCTGTACTGCGCGTATATTCATCGAAATTGATGTTTTTCCATGACATTTTCTGTCTCTCTCATAATTGGGATCCCATCCGTCGTGTTTACAGCGCTGCAAATCTTTCCTTTGCTTCACAGTCTTCTGGGGTCCACTACACTTGCATGCCTAATTCCCTTTGTTTGGTTCATTGAATCGCCTAAAATTAAGGGCGTAATTTCGTCCATTTATTCAATTCCACCCCAAAGCTACGGACTTTCTACATTTTGTTGGTCAAATTTGTTTTACGTGAGACGACCGTAGCCCACAGTTTTAGTCAAACTTTATTACCGACTGCTTTAAAATGTTTCTGTGACCAAAATGTAATACAGTATCACACTAGGGTGCCACATTCTCACATAACTTTTTAGGTTCAAAAGTTAAATATATATGGGAAAATATGGGGGGGGGGGGGGTATTTTCTTTGCAGTTCTAATGAATGTGGCTAACGATTTAGATTAACTTCAGGTTAAACTAATCATAAATCAATGGAGTTATTTCGCTTTATCCTTGAAGTAATGTTAGGGACAGAGAATGGTTCCACCAAGCCTAAAGCTAAGGGAATGGAGAAATTATTACAGCCTTACCTCAATGATGTTTTATTTAATTCATCAAGGGCATGAAGTGATTTCATCCGATTTCTATTGTGATCTCATCCCTAAACCATACTCCCTCCGTCCCAATTTGTTTTCTAAATTTTCTTAATTTGACTATCTCAAAATGATTTTTCACTTGCCATTTTATGTATAGAAACATGAACAAAGTGGAATACCCTTACTCGTCTTCTAATTTTCGATTTCACCCGCCCAATTTAGAGAGGAATTAATTCCCACCATCCGTATCACTTTTCCCCACTATTAAGCTTCTCTCCCCCATACTCAACCCAAAAAGGTGGAGTCGACCACCCCAAACGCTCCCACACCCCGACAAAATGGTGGAGGAATCTCCCTTCATACTCAATTTGTGGTGAAGATGAAGGACAAAAGAACGGGCCGCTCAGTATATATGTACTTTTTCCAGCAGATAGTAGCGGCAGATTTTATAGTAGGCTGTACTTATTCTGCAAAAATTATTTTTTACAAACAGAAATGTTGACAAAAGAACATTGCCTATGTGAAGAGGTATACAAATATTTGTAGAAAAAGATACAAAAAGTATTTTCCTATTCTAAATCCTGATCCATATGTAGGAGTCATTAATTCATTATACCTCATTGGTGCAGTAATGCATTGTTGAGTTTGACATTGTTTCCTCTAAGGTGAATAAGCTAGCCACACCTCACAGCTCTCTGATATAAACTAGCTCAGTTTTCCATATGCCCTTGTTATTTCCATTTATGGCCCTGTAATCTCTGTAACTCTTTAATAATCTATAGGGTGTATATGCAGCAGATTATTCAGCTTTTTTGGCTGTATCCTGTAACTATTTACTTCTTGGTGTTGTAATTTAAGAGCCATAATTTGTTATCATAATTTAAGCAGTGTTATTTAATATTTACATGAAAGATTAAATGTGTCATTTTTATCACTTAGCAATGTATTTATGGAAATAATTCCCAAGAGAGAGAATGTCTCAAATGTATTACCCAACAATATCGTCAATGGAACAATGTCAACTGTTCACATGTGGTATGACAGAGGTAGACATATATGAATTAAAAATTAAAGTTCTCCATTATGTGAAATAAAATGTCTAATTTAGACATCACGGAGAAAATTTTATCAAAAGCATAGACGGTGGTAATAAGAGAGTATTCATATCTACTAGAGTATATTTTTTTTGCGTGTTTCTCTCTCATGCAACCCATGCATCATAAATATTACTCCCTCCGTCCCATTAGGGGGTTCCAATTACGGTTTACGATGCTTGACTGACGATAAAGCAACTTAATCCCTGCTCACACACTGATTATTTTTAGAAAATAAAATTTACATATTAAAAAACTACATTAAAACCGCTACAAAGCCTGATAAAGAAAATGTAAATTTGATAAAAATTTAATATATAAAGAAAAAGATTAAGAATGATTTAAGTTGACCATGTGAATAGTGGACGAGAATCTTTGAATGGGACGGAGGGAGTACTACGTTATTATTATGTGAACAAATATTTTGCCCTGTATTCCCTAGAAATAACTTATTAACCAAACATGCACCATATTGAACAAATATTTAAGGGTGTTTACTTTGTTTTAGGGGTAGTTTGGATCTGTTGGAGGATTTTATAAAACTCAAAACGCTTTTGGTACTGATATCATCTTACTTTGCTAGGTACAAAATTGCAGATTGCTTAGAATTGTCATTAATCAAAAGTCAAAATTCATTTTGTCATGGAAGCTGAGACCCACCTAAGCACCGCGGTACCAATTTCTAAGATTGTTGAGGACAAAGACACAGAGCCTCACCATATTAAGGTTACATTTCTCATTTCAATTTGTAGGATGAATTTGTTTTTTTATCTTACTATAAAATAAGTGATTCTATTAATGTGTGACAGTATCCTCGTCTTTGTAAGTTGTAACCTATTTTTTTTGCACTTAACTAAGAGTGATATTTTACCCTAAAATTGCTCTGCATTTCTGTGATAAATAAATGGAAAATAGTAAAGCTAAAAAAGATAACAAAAGAATTATATAGTTGAAAAGGAAAACGAGTGTTGAATGCCGTTAATGAAAACCTATGTTTCTTTTGTAGTCTCATTTATGATTTATCTTGAGTACTAAGTAATATGGCATGAAACCTGAAATGAATGCTGAATTGACTGCCATCACTGAGTGCTGTGCTTGGAATTGATAACATTGTAGGTGAAAGAGGTGGGCTTAAATTTAACAGACAATGGAGGAAAGAAGGAAGACGACGACACTGATGGCGAATTCATAAAAGTAGAGAAGGAAACTCTTGAATCAAAGGAACTTGCAAAGACAGCTACCGGAAACTTAACGTTTCCAGAAGAAGACATTCCATCCAGTGTCACTGAGCGGAGCTTGAACGTTTCATCTGATAGCAGGGAGTTTCTTGAAACACAAGAAAAGGTCAGAGATCTTGAGGTAGAACTGGAAAGAGTCACAAGATCACTGAAGGATTCTGATTCTCAAAAGGCGCAATTGAGTGAGGAACTCTCCATCACAAAAGAGAAACTTGGGGAGATTGAGAAAAATTATGAAGAGCTTGGTATTGATCATGCCAGGTTGAAAGAAGAGATCTCAGATTCAGAAGGTAGGCATAGTTCCCAGATAAGTGCCTTGCAGGACGCCATAAATGTACAAGAAGTTAAGCATGAGGAACTTGAGAGTATCAAGGATTCATTTCACAGACTTACCCTTGAGTATGACAGCTCAAGAAAGAAGACAGAAGAGCTTGAGCAGGATCTGCAAGACACTGCTGACGAGGCCCGGAAGTTTGAGGAATTTCACAAGCAAAGTGGGTTCCTTGTCGAGTCAGAAACTAAACGGGCCTTGGAGCTTGAGAGGTTGCTTGATCTGACAAAAGAAAGTGCGAAAGACATGGAAGATCAAATGGCTTCTTTGCAGGCGGATGTCAAGGTCCTCCGTGAGAAGATTGCCCATAGTGAGGAGGTTGAGGAGGAACTCAAGACTACTTCCTCGAAGCTCTCCAGTGTTCAAGGTGAGTTGGAGGCTTCGAGATTGGAGGTACGTAATATGGAAGAGAGGCTTACTTCAAAAGAAGAAATTTTTAACGAATTAAACCATGACTTAGACATGAGCAGGGCTTCTGAGTCTCAGCTGAAGCAAGACATACTATCTCTTCAGAACCAATATTTTACAGCCAAAGGAGATCTTGAGACTAAGATACTGGAGCTTGAAAAATCCTTGTCAAAACTGGAGGAGGAAGTTGGTCAAAAAGAGAAACTTGAAGCTAAATTAAGGGGTCAAGATGCAGAGTTTGCAAAGATGGTGGATGAACTGGGAAAATTATCCAAAGAGAATGAATCACTTGACTCTGCCGTTTCTGAGCTGACTGAAAATGCTGTTGTGATGAAACAATTGTGCAGTGACCTTGAGGCTAAGTTGCAGAGTTCTGACGATAACTTCTGCAAATCTGACACCCTTCTATCTCAAGCTTTGACAAACATTGCAGAGCTTGAACAAAAGCTTAAGACGCTGGAAGAGCTACACAATGAGTCTGGGAACACCGCAACCGCTGCAAACCAGAAAAATTTCGAGCTTGAGGAATTGCTACGAATTTCCAATTCAGTAGCAGAAGATGCTAATGCACAATTGGTAGAGCTCAAGTCGCAGTATATTGCAGTAGAACACAAAAATTTGGAGCTTGTGCAGCAACTCAATCTTGTCGAACTCAAAAGCAATGATGCTGAGAGAGAGGCAAAGGAGATCTCAGAAAAAGTATCCGAACTAGATGCCACGCTGATAAAGGTAACAGAAGAAAAGGAACATTTGAGTGCCCAAGTTCATGAATTCCAGGACAAGATAGCTCAGGTTGAACACGAGTTGAAGGTTGCTTTGGACCAATGTTCTGATCATGAGGGCACAGCCAGTACAGCGAACCTTCGCAACCGTGAACTAGAGGATTTGATGCATATTTCTCATTCCAAAGTGGAGGAAACTGGTAAGAAGGTGAGTGAGTTGGAGCTATTGCTTGAAACGGAGAAGTATAGGTTCAAAGAGCTTGAAGAACAAATAGTCACACTAGAAAAGAAATGTGAAGATGCAGAAACAAATTCGAACCAATACCGTCACAGAGTATCTGAACTTGAAGAGGATCTAAAGGCATTCCAAAGCAAATCATCAAGCTTTGAAACTGCATTGGAATCAGCAGCAGTTCAAGAAAAGAAACTGACTGAATGCCTGAATGTGACCACAGAAGATAAGAGAAACTTAGAAGAAGCCTTTAGAAACTCGACTGAAAAACTTGTTTTATCTGAGAATCTGCTTCAAGTCTTGCGCACTGAATTAAATGCTACTCAACAGAGACTGGAGAGCATTGAAAATGATCTAAATGTAGCTCTCTTGAGAGAAGGTGAGGTTATGGAGAAGCTGAAGTCTGCTGAGGAGCAGTTAGAGAAACACGGAAAATCACTGGAGGAAGCTACAATGAGAAGTCTAGAGTTCGAATCACAGCATCTGACCCTTTCTAGAGATTCTGAGCTTAAACTCCATGAGGTGCAATCACTGTATGAAGAGAAGATAAAAACTCTTGAAGATCAGGTAAAGATTTATGAAGAGAAGACAAATGAATCTACTGAAAGATCAGAAGCTGTGAAGAAAGAGCTAGAACAGGTTTTTCTAAAACTGTCTCTGTCCGAGAACACTAATGAAGACTTGAAAAAGAAAATCTCAGAAACAGCTGATAGATCTGAAGAGATTCTATCAGAAAATGAGATGTTAGCTGCGACAAATATACAACTGAAGAAACGAGTTAATGACCTTGAAGAACAACTTAGTTCAGCCAGCATAGAGAAGGAAGATAATATCCGAAATGTTGCTTCTCATATGAACACTATCGCTGAATTAGCAGATAAGCACACAAGAGCTTCCAAAATGCACTTGGCATCTGAAGCTCGACTTTCAGAAACACAAACAGAACTGGAAAATGCTATCCAGAAGTTGACTCAAAAGGACCTTGAAGCTAAAGGATTAATGGAAAAGCTAAGCTCTCTTCAAGATCGGGTAAAAGGATATGATGAAAAAGCTCGCGAAGAATCTTCTCTTGCTGAAAGTCTCAGATTTAAGCTGGAAGAGACTCTTACAGCATTGAGAGAACAAGAAGGAAGCGTGGAGGAACTGAAAATAAAATTTACTGATCTCGAAGAAGACAGAGTACGTGTATTCGGGGAAAATGCAGAGCTCACTGCAAAACTATACTCATATGAGCCGAAGGTTGTTGATTTAGAAATGAAACTGAAGGCTGCCTTTGTTGAGAGGAATGAAGCTGTAGACGAGCTTCAAGCTTCAAAGACGGTGATAGAAAGTTTGACACAAGAGCTCAGTTCTGAAAAGCAGAAGCTGCAAGATCAGGTTGGCTCTCAGGTTCCTTGATTTTTTCTACTTTATATCCCCCATTGCTTTCATTTCTCTTATATTTTCCTAAATAATAATGTGCTGTTGAAATTTTCTTCTCTTGCAGCTATCGGCAGCTCTAGAGGAAAACAAACAGCTTCACGAAATGTTTGAAAATTCTAATAAGGAACTTCATGGTGTTATAGCACACCTTGAAGAACAGCTGAATGAGCATGCATCAAGCAAAAAAACTCTGAAATCCCAATTAGAATCCCTTACTTCTGATGTCTCTAAGAACTCTGAGGTGCAGAATCTTGTCAAGGAGCTTGAAGAGCAATTAACAACTGCTAAAGCTCAAATTGAGCAACAGGTAGCAGAATTGCTTCTACTCTAAAATAAATTTAGGCTGTGCTTGGAATCTGAACTTGGAGGGGGAAGGGACGAGAGGGAATATTTAATTACTCCCTCCGTCCCATTTAAATCTTTACGCTTTCCTTTTTGGGACGTCCCATTTACTCCTTTACATTTCCTTTTTAGGCAACTACTTTTACATTAAATGTCCTAACTACCCTTCACTACCCACCCACTTTTTATATTTGAGTGGATAACATTAATTCCCTCCAAAAGTCAAAGGGCATGCAAGACATTTGTTCTTCAATTAATTGAGCTCCTAAAATACCGTGCCAAAAGCAAACGTCAAGTTTTATCCGGGACGGAGGGAGTATAAGATAAGTGATTACGTTTTATGAATGATACATGATTTATGGTTTAAAAAATGATTAGGAAGTTGAGCTCATACTAATGGAATGCAGTGAGAGTAAAAGAATCTCAAAATATTTCTAAATCCTAATACATGAAACTGTTCAATCTTTCTCTTTGGAAGAAAACTCATGAATTGAATCCACTTGAAATTTGAACCTTATCCCTTTATTCATATGAAAGGACAGAACATTGAAGTTTCTGCTAATAAACTTCTGGAGTTTCCCTCATTTACCTCTAAACTTTATTTAGGATAGGATTCATTTGTTTTGCTTCTCCTACTTGCTGCTTTTATAGTCTCTGTCCCTTTCTTCTACCATAATTCAAGTGGTTAGTGTTGTGCATGGTTATTATTTATAAAATCATTTTCATGCCTTTCACTATTTTTGTTTCTTTTTGATGGCATATTCTCATGTGGATGATGATAAAAACAGAAAGGACTGGACACTGAAAAGGTTATGGAGTTGGAGTCTTCTTTAAAGCAGATGGAAGCTAAGAATAATGAAATCTCACTTCTAGAAAAGAAGGTTACAGAACTTGAACAAAAATTGCAGTTTGCTGATGCAGACTTAAAAGAAAAGGTTAATCTTGTTATTCATTTTGCATTGTCATTCCTACATTTTATCTTTTCCAAAAAAATCCTCTGAGTTGTTGAGGAGTGGAGTATGCATGTTTCTATGAGAAAAAAGTGCATGCAGTAGTATATTGTTCAGGCTGGTTTGCGTTGTTTAATATATTTTGGCGAATACTGTAACTTTACATTCCACAGTTACAGTAGTATTTCCTTGATCCACAAAATGAATAAACAAATCATTTGTAAAAAAAAAACTAAGAAGTTTTGGGCTTACAAACTAGCCTAGTTTTTCCTGTAGGTTTTGAAAAACTAACCTATTTTGTCTTGTAGTTCAAAAATCATGGAATGAAAACATAATGAGAAGAATGTTGGGATGGATGTAGTGACCAAATGCTTTACCCATTAGAGTTCTAAGCGACCATAAAAAAGTCGATGCGTGTGGTACATTTGTTGTTATTATTGGTCAAAAGGGTGAGAGGTGGAGTGAGAAGTAACGTGAGCACCCCATTTCTTAAATCATGTTATGCAATTTAAAATGAGAGCAGTGAACCAAAACATGTTGAATTTTCTAGGGTGGTACCATAGAAGCTCCCTCTTACTTTAAACTGAGCTTATAAATACACATGATTGCGGCGCAAGGAGAAAAGTAGAAACAATAGGGGTTCTGATTTTCGTAAGCATGTCATAAAAGGGTAAGATGAAAATAATGCACCAAAATTCATTGAGTTTTCTCTCTCTAACTTTTAAAACCCTGCTCTTATAAAGAGAGGGTGATATATACTAATATACTCCCCCTGTCACACATGGATTGAGTATGCTTATTAAGATCATGTAGTTTTTGTGGAGAGTTTATTTTATACGCATAAAAAGCGACGCACATCTCTTATAAGGTGGATAATCACAGGGGCATATCCTTGATTTACAAGAAAAACTAAACAAAGAAAGAAAGAAAGAACGATGAAGTTCAATATGGGATGGAACTATTGAAGATGTTTTCCCCCATCAAGAAAGAAAGAAAGAACGATAAAGCTAATTAATAAAGATAATAAATAGTGGATGACTCGGGTAAATTGATCTATGCAGAGTGTAGGAGGGGGCAGTATTTTTGTGAAGGAAGACGCAGAGGCGAAGTCTAGGGATATTGGATCAATGGCCGTCTCCTCTCCATCAAAGCGGAAGAGCAAGAAAAAATCTGAAGCATCCACCACTCCATCTGCATCATCCACTGTTACTCATCAAGTTCGGAGCACCAATGAAGCTTCTTCCCCTTTCACAGCCCGATTCATTCTGGGTGTGGCTTTGGTTTCAATTATCATTGGTGTAATTCTCGGTAAGAGATATTAGAAGCACCCCAATTCTACATTTGAGGTATTCCTTAATCTTATTATTATTGTATTTGTATTCTTCTTTGAGCATTGCTGGGTGTGGCTTCTAAATTCCTGGCTTGAAGTCATTTTGAGAACATAGTTTTTTACTTCTCGATTGCTTGCATATTTTTAATTTTACTTTGTAGAAGCGACTTGATTGGTCCAAATAGGCAATTTATTGTTTTATTCTAGGAGTACTTTACTAGTACTTCTCATAGTGCTGGTTTGTAATGGTCGGAGTAAAAGTATTACGTTCCGACCAATGTACAGTGCACATTTCTTCATAGTTATTGCCTCAATCCTATGATCAATATGATGCACGGAACTCCTTGTAAGTAATATTTGTGGTTTGAATGCATACCAAAAACTCTATTATTCCTCTCTTTTTATATGCTTGGTTTCATTTTAAAGTATCATCTTTGAGAATATAGTGTGTCGTGCAAGCATCGATAGGGAGTATCATTCATTGCAAATCCAAAGATTGAAATCACGGGTAATCGTTTACTCCAGGCGCGCTAAAAAAGAATGTTCCTCTCATAAACCATTCCGATTTCTAATATTAGATTAGAGGTGTCTCTCCACAATCTGATTGGATAAATTTAAGGAGTATACAATAGGTACGACGGACGTACGCTTGTTGAGCACCGGACTATAATATTAAACCGTTCACTTTGTAATAATATGCATGCATTTTGTTAGGAAATGCCATTTTCACATTCCGAGTTGGGCTCCACTTTGCACAAATAATTTATTTGTGCCAAATCAAGTGCACTATAAAATTACATCCGCAAAGAAAATCAAACAGAATTGCTGTTAAAACAAGTCATTTTGCTGTGTCTGTATACAAGATTTTTATATCATTGATTTTATTTAGGGAAAATTCCTGAAAATGAGTAAAAACGTTTGAGAATTTCAAGATATGACTCATGTTTTTATTTCTTAAATAGAGGAGCAATTACTGCAAGTTTGGAAAGTACTGTCCTATTTAAAGTGTGACACTCTCAAAAAATGAGAGTAATTATTTCTATTTATTAGGAAATAAAAACATTACAATTCAAATTTTGAAATACTTACAAGAACATGTTTTATCCGTGCACCTAATTTGACAGACATGAATTTGTCTCTAAGAAAAATACACAAATTGTGTAAAATTGGGGTGTATCCTGGTTATGTAAAAAAGTTTAAGGTGGTGTTACAAGAGTTGGAGTTCAATTGAAAATATTTATTCACTCCCTTAGAAAAGGCATAATGATTTTTAACAAAAATCATGCTAAGGCTAAGTTTGTAAATCTATTTCTATTTTTAGCTTCCCTTTTTTATTTGTCCAAAAATATTTACTACTTTCTTTTTCAAAGTAATGATGTCGTGATTCAAGTTATTTCTCTCCTCTACATTAACTTCAATCACCCAATATTTTTATTTTTACATTTCAAACTCAATAAAAATATACATGCATGGTTACTTTTTAATGCATTTGGATCACTTGCCATAAAAAGTAAGAACAAATTTGGTGCATCAGATCTAAAATTCAACAACTCTGAATAAGTAAAGATGCACAAAATAGATGAAAATTGGTGTGAAATTTTTTGTAAATGAAATGAAGATTTTCTTCGCAAAAAGTTGACGTCCTATTTGCAAGTGTGTGCAATATTGTATCATTAATGACCAAAAATGAATGACGAAAATCGCCCAAATGCAATAGTGATGATCAAAAGTTGAAGCATTCACTCTTTATACAATAAGATCAGTTTTTATTGGGACCAGACTTGTGAAGATATTGTCTAACATTGTTAATAAGATTTTATGCATGAGTTTGAAAGAAAGAAATTAATGTATTGTAACTCATTGTCTAGTTTTAGTTTTGTACGATTATTAATAAAAACAATTAAAAAGTAAAAATTGTGGTTAAAATTTAAATAGAATAAAGTGAAATGATATTGATTATATATTTTTTTTGTTGTAATAAGGAAAACATAAAATTCAAAATAAAAGTTTGAAAAGAATTTATTGTCATTTGTAAGAATGAGTAAACAACTAAGTCGTCACTACTACACAGTGTTGATTGTTTGCATCTGTGTGATGGTTGTTTCTTCGATCTCTAAACCTAATGAATGTGGGACGGATTTGTTAAATTGAGGCTATGGTTTGGGGGTGAAACCTAATGAATGTGGGACGGGCGCCAGGCAGAGGCGGTCAACAATGGCAAAACCTTCCACCCCAACCTCAACCGCCCATTTTCCTCCACCAAAGTATATCCTTTCCAAGGGAACATCCCGAGCAAAAGGCCTGCCTGGGCAGCCGGGCTACCTGTGAGTGAAACGGGCTTGAACCCGACCCGTTGCAGCTCATCGCACCACCTGGCCTCCTCCTGCTCCCCGACGGCCTGCAGGATGTTCCTGATCTCGCGCCCCAGCAGCTGCTGCTCCACCGTGTGCCTCTCCACGCTGTCCTCGCCCAATCCCTCCCCGAGCGCGTCAAACAAAGCCGAGTAATAATGCAAAGCCTCCACAAACCTCCCCAGGAAACTCGCCCCGCCACCGCTCGTGTCCTGCTCCACCACCGTGATCAGCTTTGGCCTCAGGAGAGTGAGCCATCTCAGCGTCCCTAAATCGCTCCCGGTCACGTCGTACATCCTGTGTTGCATCCAGTGCACCACCGTCGTCTCACCCCTCCCCCCACCCAGTTGGCTCGGGTCCGTTAGGTTGCCGATTTTGCCCTCCAGCGCCCGGAACTCGAAAGGGAGCCCGAGTGAGCTCGCGAACTCTGCGAGTCTCCGCCCGGTGGACTCGAGCAGCTCTATTGAGGGTCCCACGCCGGTTATCTTGATGGACCGGATCTTTCGCCTGCGTGAGGCGAGGATGTGAAACAGTCCCGGCCACTGCAGGCCCTGCATGATGTCGAGGTCGATGATGTGGACATGATCCTCTCCATCAAGGGCCTGGAAGATGGCCTGGTTGGCCGTGAAGTGCGAGAATTTGACGAGAGGGCTGACGGAATTGTAGATCTGAAGTGCGGCGAAGAGCTTTTTAGATTGGGATATGGTTAGGTTTTCAATGGTGAGCGGCGGCCGGCAGGAGCCGAGAAAGGAGCTTATGATCCGCGCGGAGAGCGCTTCGGCGAAGTAAGCGGCAACGCGCTCAGCAGACGACCCGAACGGAGAAGATAGCTCCGATATCTCCGGTATTAGATTGCCGGCGCTGTGGAGATCATGCGCCGAGACGCACTCCGCGCATTGTAGCAGAAGACCGAGCAAATGCAGACCAGCTGACTCGGTGTGTGCCGCCATACCGTAATCCTCGTCGTCTTTCTCGCCGGAGAGGGAGGGTCCCGCCGGAGAAGTGAAATGGCACTGCCTTTTAAAGGACGGGTCCTCTGCGGCGGCGAGGTCAACTACAGAACGCTTGGAAGCCATGGAAGAAGAAATGGCGAAAAAGAGATGTTGTAGCAGCCACGTCGGTGAAGATGGAGAAGAAGAGCTCAGGGGGAGTAAGAAAATGGAGGGCGGGGAAGAGCATGAACCCTGCTGTTTTTGGAAGTATCGATGAGGTAGGCATGCAATCAATGAGGCTTCTTCTGTTTGTCGTGTGCACTTGTTGTTATTAGGTGCTTGCTTGCGTGTTTGTACATTTTTGTATAATAACATGCGTTTGGATAATGCATTTGTCCTCCACCACTCTCTCTTCTCCAAAATTATTGCCTCCCTAATTCAAAGTTTTGTGGTTATAGTTCTTCCAAAAGGTTAATCTCCAACCTAAGGATCTCCACGTCACACTATATGACTTTTGGAAAGTTCTGAGTCACGGTGACTCAATCGACTCAATGGTGTTAGACTTTGTACCCATGTGCACCAGAAGTACAGCCCATCACGTAGGAGCTGTAACATTCACATGACCGTTGCGGGATTCGATCCTTGATAATTCTTCCAAGTTTCTCACCGCTCAACCAACTGAGCTACTCATGTAGGTATTTATCATTATAGTTGTCAACACACAAAGGTGCTTGGATAGTTATGTCATGAAAATGATTTAGAGAAGAACCAAAAGAATCAATGGAGTTGTAAATACGAATGAACCAAAGGTGGATGCGTTTAAAAACAGTCTATTAAATTATCAAAAAGGTTTTAAAATGTTCGATATTGTCTAATTTTAGGATGGAATAACTTGCACCATACCCTTTTCGGTTTGATCAATAAGGTATTGTGAAAATTCTATTTGTACACGAAATTGGTACACATTTCATACTCATTTGTATGTAATTGTATATTCACATAGCTAACGTGTACACGATCAATTATCTACAAATGTGATGGAGTATATGGCTCACGAACCCCCGGCCCATAGACTCCCACTACTATAGCGAAGGCCCAATAGGCCCAGGAAGCACAGCAGACCCAAATCACAGCGTCCCAAGTGCCAAACAGCCCACGACGAACACTGGGGTGCCTTCGGCCCCCTAGCTGAAGGCTCATAAACTTACAGTACAGCTGCTTTTAAGCACTCAAAGTGTCTGGGAGAAAGCGGTGAAAATAATAGCCCTCGATACCTAGAGCCCTCGGCACCTAGAGGCCCCCAGGATGAAGATCCTTCGGCTAATCATCTACGGTCGAAGACATCTCCTCGACAGAATCTCCCACCCACATGCGCTGGATCAACGTACCGAGTACCAACGTCACATCCAACCACCGCATTTAATGCGGCCACATGTGAGTGTCAGTGCCACCCCGTTGAGGTGACACCTCGACCACCAGAATGATGACACGTGTCCCTATCTAGCATTTATTGCTGCTATAAATAGCACCTCTTTCCCCATTTGTAATCCACGCTGAATACGCTCATTATCAATATACACTCTCTCTCTACTTTTGCTCTGACTTCTCTCTAGTTACTTCCCACAGTAACCCCTCGGATAGATACCCTCCGGGTACACTTATCCATCATTTGGTGCTCTCGTTGATAGGTCGAACAATCAAGTAAGAAACCCTCCCCTTCAGCTAAAAACACCTGCCAGAATGGGAAGAAACACTCGTGCCCAATCCAAGACTCATGAGGATAGGAACCTGGCCCTCGGCGAAGTCGACGTACCTGAAGCCTCTAACATGGCTCCCGAGGGCGGCGTCATCACCGGGTTGGACCAGACACCTCTTGACCTACGCCTTCAGCTCCAACAAAATGCCCTCGATGCCCACCTTGGCATCGAGGCTAGGAAAAAGGACCGGAGCGAAAACCAAGTGAGCCCTCCGGTCCTTACTATTGATGTGCAATCGGCATTCTCCGCCTTCATCCAGACACTCACTCAGAACCCAGGTGCTTTCGGCACTCTGGTGCCCCTTCAACCATAGGTCGGGGAGAACGCCATACCGCTCCCACCACCACTCCCCCTCGCGAAACCTATCCTTTGGATGGGGAACGACGAGGGAGTCGTGGCCCAGGACACCGCCTCTCAGGAGGTCCAATCCTGGGACCGCCATGGCAAAAACAAAGAAAGGCCCCGGACCTCCGCCCTCGAGAGACTCGGAGGGGCGCAAGACCGCTGAGGGGTCCAAGACCGTCTCGAGGGGAAGGCGTTCCAAAGACCTCAAGAAAGTGGTGGATCCGTCTCCAGGGCAGACGAAAGACGTCCTGCTCAGGACAAAGGCAATGCACCACTCCATGCCGATGACGCGAGACATCAAATCAATCAGGCCCACTCGGCTCGTGTTCGTTCGCAGGGGGCGGAGGCCCTCCCGAAGGATCCCGAGGACGAGATCATTGTGGCCCTCCAGCGCCGGCTTGATAAGATGCAGGCCCATCGAGCACATACCGCCGTCACCACCCCTCATGCAGATCCCAAATATGAGGCCATGATGGCCAAAATGGAGGAGATGCAAAAGAGAATAACCGAGGGCTCCGGGGAACCCGTTATCCAACTCCGGACTAGGATGCCATTTACCCCAAGGGTATTGGCGGCCCGAATTCCGTAAAAATATCGGGGGCAACCCATCAGGCCCTATGAGGGAAAAACAGACCCCAGGAGCATTACAGCCGATACCAAAGCAGTATGATGATGGTGGGGGCATCGGACGAATATTTGTGCTGTTAGTTCCTTTCCACCTTAGAGAGACCAACGTACGAATGGTTCAACCGATTGCCTGAAGGCTACATCGATTCATGGCAAGAACTCGCCCAACGCTTCTTGACGCAATTTGCAGGGATACGCCGGTCAAGGAAACACTTCTCCCACTTACTAACGGTAAGACAAAGGAATGAGGAGAGCCTTCGGGACTTCTTGGAACGCTGGAGGACGGAGGCGGATAAAGTTGATGACGCTGACGACGGGACCCTCCTGGCTCTCCTTGAAACAGTTCTCCGCCCCGGGAACTTCTTAAGGAGCCTCATCATTGAACCTCCCCGCGATTACATAAGGGCCCTGCAGTGGGGGGACCGGTACGCCGAGGCCGAGGAGGTAGAAAAGTGCCATCACAACCCTGATTAGCAACGCCCTCGGCCAGATGACAAAGGCAACCGGGGGGTCGGGGGCTCCCCCAAATCAACCCAAGGTTGCGGCACTCCCCAGTGATCGCCTCCGGCATGGCCAAGCCAAGCCCGGGGGAGGTTACAAGGGAAACCCGAAGGCTTGGGCCCAGCCCATTCTCTTGGAGCACCCTCGGACTCCCTTGACACACCCCGTCAGTGTCATCCTAGACTTCGCCGAGGAGAGAGGCCTTGTGGAGCGCAACTCTCACGCACCCCTGGAGGTATACGCCATCAACCCCAATTATCCTTACTGTCGGTTCCATCGCAACCAAGGGCACAGTACCGACGACTGCCATCAGCTGAAGACGGCCATTGAAAGGTTGATACAGGCAGGCCACATGTCCCAATTCATCAGAGGCCCTCCGCCTCAGGGGACCCCTCACTACCAGGGCCCCCCTAAGAAAGCAAATGTTTGGGTCAACCCAAACACCATCCCCCTCGGCGACCCGATGGGTAAGAAAAGGGAGATTGGAAACCTCGATGAGTGGAGGAGTACAGCCAGTACCAGGAGAAGAAGCGCCACATCCATATGATCACTGGAGGTAACACAGGGGGGACTCCACCAGCCAGCGGAAGAAGTGGGCTCAATCGCTATACGTGGGGGAAGTCACTCATATGCCCCCGGTAAAGCGGCTGAGGGAGGAGCCCATCACATTCACAAACGCCGATCTCCCCCCTGCTTTCTCTCTACACAGGGATGCCCTCGTCATTCGTACGGAGATCAATGACACTATCATCCACAGAACTTACGTTGATACGGGTAGCTCCGTCAACGTAATGTACCTCAGCACTTTCAAGGAGCTACACCTAGAGAGGGAGTCCCTTCGGCCCATAAAGACCCCTCTTGCCGGCTTCACCGGAGACACCATTGATTCCGAGGGGTCATAACCCTCCCGGTACTATTCGGCGACGGGTTCCATAAATCCAAGCTCGAAGTGGAGTTCGTCGTCGTCAACATCGACTGCGCCCACAACATCATCCTCGGCAGACCAGCCCTTGAGGACCTCGAAGCCATCATCTCCATGAGGCATCTGTGCCTCAAGTTCCCCGCCGAAGGATGCATCGGTTACTCAAGGGGGAACCAAAAACTTGCCCACACTTGCTACCTTCAAGTGACGAAGAAGGTCAGTAAGACCGAGTTCCGTGTTGACACCATCACCGGAACCGTGGAGAAGGAAGAGAAGAGGCCGAGGGCAGAACCCGCCGAGGAAGTAGAAGACTTTGTGCTCGACCCGGCCAAGCCGGAGAGAGTATTGAAGATTGGAGCCAAGCTCCCTGAAGACCTGAAGACCGGCATAACTGAAGCTCTCCGCGCCTACTCCATTGTTTTTGCATGGGGGCCGGAGGACATGCCCGGAATCAGCCGAAGGGTCATCACCCAGCGCCTCTCGGTGGACCCTTCGGTCAAACCTGTACAACAGCGAAGAAGGCCCCTCTTGGCCGAAAGGAGGGATTTTGTGAAAAAGGAGGTTGCCACGCTCCTCTCCATCAAGCACATCAAGGAGGTGAGATACCCCTCATGGCTGGCGAACGTAGTCCTCGCACAGAAACCACCCACCTTCCGCATGTGCGTGGATTACACGGATCTCAATAAGGCGTGCCCTATGGACTCCTTCCCTCTGTCAAATATTGATCAATTGGTGGATGAAACGGCGGGGTGCAAGATCATGTCATTCCTCGACGCCTTCCGCTGATATCACCAAATTTTCATGCATGAGGAAGACGCTGAAAAAACAGCCTTCATGACTCCCGAAGGCATCTTCTGCTACCTGGTCATGGCCTTCGGTCTGAAAAATTCCGGCGCCACTTACACCCGGATGGTGGCCAGGGTCTTTCAAGCCGTCCCGGGGCGCACCATGGAGGCCTATCTTGATGACATGATCGTCAAAAGCAAACAATCATCAACCCATGCTGACGACCTCCGGGAGATCTTCGCCATCATGCCAAAGTTTCACCTTCGGCTAAACCCGAAGAAATGCACCTTCGGCGTGCAAGGAGGCAAATTCTTAGGCTACATGGTGAGCCGAAGGGGTATCGAGGCCAACCCCGAGAAAATCCAAGTCATCATCAACATGGAGCCCCCACGCAACGTGAAAGAGGTCCAACGGTTGACGGGCCGCCTGACAGCCCTCAACCGCTTCCTATCCAAATCGGCGGAGAAGTCTTTACCCTTCTTCCACATCATGAGGAAGACCGCTGGCTTCCAATGGACTTAAGAATGTCAGGAGGCCTTCGACGAACTAAAACGGTATTTATCTTCACCCCCTGTGCTCTCCAAACCCAAGGTAGGGGAAATTCTATACCTTTACCTTGGTGTCAGCCTGGCTGCCATCACCTCAGTGCTCATCCGGGAGGAAGATGGCGTCCAACATGCCATCTTCTATGTTAGCAAGACCCCTAGGGAGGCCGAACTCAGGTACTCTCCTATGGAAAAAACAGTGCTGGCCATCGTCTGGACCGTCAAGAAACTAGGCCACTACTTCCAAGCTCATCCGGTCCAGGTCCTCACGCATCAACCCCTTGGCGCCTTGATGAGGAGCCCCACCAGCTCCTCCCGAATGGTAAGATGGGCTATCTTCCTAAGCCAATACAACATCGACATCCGTCCAAGGCCTGCCATCAAGGGCCAAGCCTTAGCTGACTTTGTGACGGAATGCACGACAAGATCAGCCACCGACCAGGAGCCTTCGGCACCCTCAGATGATTGGTGGACCCTTTACACCGACGGCTCCTACGCAGCCAAAGCATGCGGGGGAGGGGTAGTACTCATCACACCCGAAGGCTTCCGAGCCTATTATGTTATCCGTTTCTCCTTCAAAGTCTCCAACAATGAAGCGGAATATAAAGCCCTCCTCTGTGGCCTTCGGCTGACAGCAAATATGAAGGCCAGAATGATCCACGTCAAGTGTGACTCCAAGCTTGTCGTGGGTCAAATCTCCGGGGAATACGAGGCCAAGGAAGGGAGGATGAAATAATACAAGGAGGCGGCTAAAGAATTGCTCAAGGTATTTGAGGCACACTCTCTTACCCAAATACCGAGGGCTCAAAATTCTGAGGCCAAAATTATATCAAAACTCTCGGATGAATCCCCCGAGCACATCTCTAAAATCACAAGGATAGAAGAACTTAGCCTCTCAAGCATACACGTCAGCCCCATCTTGAACATCCATCAAAGGCAAGAGGACTGGATCTCAAACATCATCACCTTCATCACCACAGGGCAACTGCCCGAGGATGAAGCCCGCGCCAAACTAGCAAAGCTGAGGGCTCTCAGCTACACCATCGAAGACGGAAGGCTCTACAAACGATCCTACAACAGCACACTACTCTGATGCCTTCATCAAGACGAAGCCGAAGTCGCCTTGGAGGAAGTGCACAGTGGCACTTGCTCAGCTCACCACGGACCCTTCTCCATGTCCCGAAGGCTCATAGTCCCAGGTTATTTCTGGCCTACGATGGCCCGAGATTGTGCGGACCTCGCCCGAAGGTGTAGTGCATGTCAACACTTTCAGAAGGCTCTCGGCAGGCCAGCGGTCAACTATGCCCCCCATCAGCACCTCCATACCCTTCTCTAGATGGGGCATAGACCTTGTAGGCCCTCTGCCGAGGGGTACCTCCAACAACAGGTACATCATCGTTGCCATTGACTACTTCACCAAGTGGGTGGAGGCTGAGCCCCTCGCCAGCATTACTGAGTCCAGGTCCCGCCACTTTGTCCTGAAGAACATTCTCACAAGGTTTGGCGTCCCCCAACAAATCATCTCCGACAACGGGACCCAATTTGAGGCAGCCCCCTTCTGCGCCCTCCTGGAGGCATGGGGCATCAAGCACACCTTCTCATTCGTTGCTTACCCTCAAGGCAACGGTCAAGTGGAGAACGCCAACCGGACATTACTTGAGGACCTCAAAAAGAAGCTAGAGGCCGAAGGGGGAGGCTGGGTAGAAGAACTCCACAACATCCTATGGGCTTCTCCCTGTGCTATGGATTTGAGGCTAAAGCTCCCACGGAGGTGACCCTTCCTACCCGAAGGGTAGCCCAATATGATCCCGATGTCAACGACGCCAACATGGCCCTCGACCTTCACCTCATTTCAGAACGCCGAGAGCAAGCCTTCATACGAGTGGAAAATTACCGAAGGCAAGTGAAGGGCTACATCGACGCCAATGTCCGCTCTCGAGAATTCCAAGTGGGGGATTATGTCCTCCGACGGAGGGAAGCTAGCCAACCAATTGAGGGCGGCAAGATGGCACCTAAGTTTGAGGGCTCATACATCATAGCAGCCATCATCAAACCTGGGACTTACAAACTCAAACGCCCCAATGGGGCAGAGGTCCCTAGACATTGGAATGTACATCAACTAGTTAAATTTTATCAGTAATATTAGAGCAGCCAAGCCCTCACCACTAATGAATGTATTATCCTACGACCCAAGGCCTTCAAATTTGAAGACATATTGAAGACACCAAGAACAACAAATAAGACACATATGAGCGGCCAAGCCCTCATGCGGACTACTGACCCAAGGCCTTGTCACAAGCAAGACCCTTCGGCACCAAGTGCCGAGGGTAGACACTCCAATCACATACGACAAATGAAGGAAACACCAAGTGTTTTTAAGAAGACCCCTCGGTACCAAGTACCGGGGACCGTACTCCTATAAGCTCCAGGCAGAGAAAAACATCAAGTGTTTCCTTTGAAGACCCCTCGGTACCAAGTACTGAGGGCCGTATGCTGAAACAAACACCAAGTGTTGTTTCTAAAGCTGTACCCCTCGAGGACGCATTTATACCGAAGGCGCCACCTATCGGTGTCGGCGGCACGTAGTGCCCCGGCCATTTGCAACCAGTGTGCAAATGAAAACCCTTCCTTGAAACGCTTTCCGCGTCATTACCCCAAGGGTATGACAGACAACTAATATGCCCAGGATTCGACTTTCAAAAATGAAACGCTTCCCGCGCCATTACCCCAAGGGTATGGCAGGCCATGGACTATGTCTCGTGCCCAGGGAACGACTTTCAAAACTGAGGCGCTTTCCGTGCCATCCCCCAAGGGGAGGCAGACAACAGACTACGTCTCGCGTCCAGGAAACGACCCTCGATCCCCTCGGAACTCGGAAGGTTAACCCGAGGGGGGAGCTAATGGTGTGTGATGTTGCCTCCCGATAGGCCAAGCCTTACCAAGAAACCAAGTTTCTTGAAGCCTTCCCTTCACTACCAAAAAAATGGGTGAAGGGGAGTAGACTCAACGAGCAATCAATGAGTACAACACTCCATGACAGACCGCCCTTCGGCATTACAAGACAATACAGACCATACTGAGGGCTCCCCCGGGAACACCTCCGGTACCTGGAAGCTACTAATTCCCGAAGACTACTATTCAACACGACAAAGGATCTGAAGGGATTAGAGTCAAAACGACATCAGTCTCCGAGATTTCTACCAACACCGAAGGCTCTGATCCTATAAAAAGGATTAAAATTGGCTAAATCCACTCAACAACGACTCAAGGGATACCGAGGGCATCCACTTTCCATCCGCCCTTACTACAACATGAATGTCTTACAAAAATTTCCTAAGTCCACACTTTGGAACCCACTACGGCCGAGGGCGCCTGCTACACAACACCGAAGGCGAGTACCCACAGACATGATCTTGAATTTCCTAAGTCCAAGTTCCAGCAACCCCCGGCACTACAATCTACACCGGAGGCTGGTACTCATAGGGCTCATTTACCGAAGGCCAAGTGACAAGTGACACTTAGGAACTTTTTCTAAGTCCCAAATATTAGGCCCTCGGTCAAATCATCATGCAAGTCAGGGGACCTAATAACCGAGGGCCATACAATGCACACCACTTGGAAAAAAATTTTATGTCCTAAATATTTGGCCCTCGGTCAAATCTCCATGCAGCCAGAGGGGTCACACAACCGAAGGCTCAGTGGTCAAACTACATTTGAAAAAAAAATTCTAAGTCCTAAATATTTGGCCTTCGGTCAAATCTTCGTGCAGCCAGAGGGGTCACGGAACTGACGGCTTAATGGTGAAACTACAATTGGAATATTTTTTCTAAGTCCTAAATGTTAGGCCTTCGGCCATACATCTAGCCAAGCATACATTCACGCACAAAGGAAAAACAAGGCGGGGAAAGACGAAGGCATACATTCAAAGGGAAAAGTAGATTATATACAAAAGGTCCGAAGGCATCCGTTCATCAATTCACAAAAGTAAAAGGCAAATTGTTATACATAAAGGCCGAAGCCGAAAGATTGTACATGTTCGTTACAAAAAAAAATCAGAATTATATAACAACATCATCATCAACAGCTGCAGCATCACCCCCTTCGGCAGCTTTCGATGTGGCGTCCCCTTCGGCCCCTTCCTCTTCCTCCCTAGCCTCCTTCAGCAGCTCAGAATCCTCTAAGTCTGGCCTTTCAACATATGCAGGGAGGGGGACTCTAATATCTGGTTGGAGGGGGGAAGGCCATATGTCACCGGATCAAAAGCCTTCGGCTCAATCTTCATGTGTCAGGACAGCCTTCTGTAGATAAGGGCCTGGGTAAAGAACTCCCCCCAGCATAGTAATCCTCGCCCTTTCGGACTAACCACATCGCCCCGGAGCCTTTCACCCACCCGTCAGCGGACGCCTCCACTACCGAAGCCACCCAGTTCTTGTGGTCTTCGGCCCTCCACCCCTCGGCCATGAAAGCAGCAACGGCACTGGCGGCAGCCTCCGCTTTAGCATCCTCGGCATCCTCGACGGCTTTCTTCGCGGCCTCAGCAGCGGCCCTCTCGGCTTCAGCTTTCTCGTAACTACCTTCTCCGTCGTAGCCTTCGCTGGTTGGAGGTCCCCTTCTAGCTGGGTCATCTGCCTCACGGCCTCAGCATTATCATGGATGAGCTTCTTCATAGCCTCATCCTGCTGCGCCTTCTGGAGGCGCCATTCATCGAACCTCCTAGCGTGCTCACCGAGGGCTATGCAAGCCTGTTATCAACCAGATAGAGGAGTGAGACTATCATGCAATAGATAGAGGAATTAGACTACTATGTAGGAAAGAAGAAACTTACAGTGAGGGAGGACCGGAGGATCTTTGACTCAAGGGCCTCATCATCGAGCTTGCCGAGGGCTTTCCTATCCAGTGAAGGAGTAGCCCCGCCCAAGAACTCACGAGGGTCCACGGTGCCATGTGTAATGGCGGCACCCTTCGGCAAGGAGAACCGTATGTCCTCCCGGGGCAAACCTACTTCACCCCCTGGGCCGAGGGAAGTTTGGAAGCGGTCGTCACCACCAGAACATGGGGCTCGGAGGTGGAGTGCTCATCCACGATCAGCACCGGGAGAGCCTTCTTCACAGCATCCCCCTTCTTTGGTCTCTTCCCCTCGGGGACTGGACCCTTGCCTGATGTCTTCCTTTTGGCAACTTCGTCCGAGGGCTCACCACCCCTCTTTAAGAATTCCCCGAGGGGCTTCTGCTTACTGGGCTCTTTCTTGCCCGGGCCCTTTGCTTTTTGTTTTTTCAGAGCAGCGAAGGCATTGATGTCCATGCTGGTACCTGCAAAAGAACAAGGACGGGTTAGGCCGAAGGATTAAAGGTGTCAACAAATATCAAAGTGCAAAAATTCCTAAGTACAAAAATTAAGGCCCTCGGCAGCTACCTCCTGTTCCCTCGAAGGCTTTGTCAATGAGGGGGTATTTCTCATCCGTTTCCCCCAAGAAACGATATCGCCGGAAGCCGAGGGCGTACAAACCATCCTCAAGGGTGCATTCCTTGATCGTCACATTCTTCTTTCGCCCCTCCGGGATCTTGGCAATCTTCAAGCCATCTTTTTCGAGGGCGGCACTTCTCACCCTCTCATGCCGACGGAAACGATCCTGCAACTCCCTCGGGAACGGGCTCTCGGGTAGCCTGACATAGCACCACCGCTCCCTCCAGCCCTTGTTCGAAGAAGGCGCTTTGGTAAATAGCCTCCACTGGGCGATCTGTTGTAAATTAGCAAAGCCTTCGGCATTTGCATGGCCTCCTCAGCAAAGATTAAAGCTTTGGGAAAACAAGTCCAAGCTCGGTGTCACCCCCCGGGACTGACAGAGGTGAAGAAACCCGGTAATATATGAGTGGCTGTTTAGGGTAAGTTGACAAGGAACCAAGCCCACAAACCGGAGGTACTCGCGAAGGAAAGGATGGAGGGGGAACCGAAGGCCCATTCCAACGGAGAGAATATGCACTGCAATGCACCCCTCGGGCACCCGGGAGAGAACATCATCGGGACCAGGTTGCACCACGACAGCTGAAGGCTCTACACTCAGCTGGGTCACATAGCATTCAGCCCAATCCGCCTTCGACTTCAACTCCGGGGCGGCGGTGTTCAGGTAGGAGTACCCCTCGGGCATATCGACAGGCTTCCCCACGTCTGCAACACTCCCCTTTTTCTTGGGAGCCTTCATCTTCTTCTTGCCCTTCGCCGAGGGCGTCGCTCTGAGAGGTTCCGGGCTGAGGACCCGAGAGGTCCCTTCCCCGGTGGCTATGGCCGAAGGGATGGCGATGGTTACCCGTTGGCGCTCCCTTTTCTCCTCCTCGATGGCAGTTTGCATAGCGAGGGCCATCTCTTCGTCAGCGTTAACTTGCTCGAAGTCCTCGGCTTCGGTGACCAGATCTTTTTGCACCTCCATGGCGAGGGCAGAATCACCATCGGCCGAGGGCTGTTCGTTTGAGGACTCCACCTCGTAGACGCTTTCTGTTTCAAGCAAGGGCTCCCTCGAGATGTCTTGCGAATCACTTGCAGGTGACATTTTCGAAAATTAAAGGTTGAATGCTTAAGACCGAAGGCTTCCTAAATAACCCTAACACTTAATCTAGGGCTGGAAAAGCTAAGTATGCAAGTGAAGGGAGGAACGAAGGAAGAACTGACCTTGAGAACTTGGTTTGATCGAAGGGAACTTTCTCTCTCTAGAAATATTGTGCGAGAGCTTCGCTACAATATGATCGCGCAGGGGGAATGGCCCTGGCCAGGGGTATTTATAGCCTCCAAAACCGGGCTTGGGCTGAAATCCGGGCCCCCATTCCCCGAAATCATCATTACAAACCGTCGGTTTGACCAACCGGTGACGCCCGCCCGCCGGGAGCCAACGAGCACACGCCACGTGGACTCCACTTCCAACGGTCATATCTCAACGGCTATATTTCGCAGGCTATGGGGCCCTAAGCTGGCACCTATCAAACAACACTACGCACGCCTTCGGGTTTTCTCCCTTGGAATCCTTCATCAAGGGGAGCTTGCGGCTTAACAACGGGAAAACCCCTCGGGACCCCTCAGCCCTCAACATGTTGGAAATCAGGAGGCCCCCGGGGCCACGCCTTCAAAACCCCCTCATCTCTGGTTAGCCTCCGGCTAAAGTACCAGGGCCCCCCTCAACACACGGGAACGATCACCGGCATTCATCAATCCCTCAGCCTCTTGGACAGGGGGACTACCCTCGGCGGTCCCCGGAATGCTCGCTCATGCTAATCAACTACGGATGCCTTCGGAGAAATGCTCCCAGCAGACCCTCCGGGATATCAACAAAGCCCCTTCGACAACTCCACAGACACGCCCTCAGATCAAGGGTAGCCTTCGGCATCAACTTTGTCCTTCATCTCAGACCAAGGTTTCACCTTTTCGATTCATCATTGGGGGAATTCGGTGCACTCTTTTTCCCTCATTAGGATTTTTTCCCACAGGGTTTTTCCTAATGAGGTTTTTAACGTGGCATCCCCCAAAATGAAATGAAAAGTGTCCACCTTCGGCCCCATACAAACAGCAGGCACCACTCTACTCCTTTTCACCACTTTACAAGTGCCTCAAGGAGTGGGGGACTCGAGAACCCCTCCGGGAACCGGGAAAATAAAAAAATGCTAAAAAATATTCTCACAAAGCATCAACACCCTTCAGTCCCAAAATGTGGGGGACTGAAGGGCTGCCCCCGATAAAATCGTGTGCGAATGCAAAATCTCTCACAGGTTTACAAACTACAGCAAGGCAGCATCAGAGGACAAACGCATTTTACTCTTTTTCCCTGAAGTACCTTTCGGCAAAAGGAGTAAGGGACTCCTGATAGAGTATATGGTCCAGGAACCCCCGGCCCATAGACTCCCACTACTATAGCGAAGGCCCAATAGGCCCAGGAAGCACAGCAGGCCCAAATCACAGTGCCCCAAGGGCCAAACAGCCCATGACGAACATTGGGATGCCTTCGGTCCCCTCGCTGAAGGCTCATAAACTTACAGTACAGTTGCTTTTAAGCACTCAAAGTGTGTGGGAGAAAGCGGGGAAAACAGTAGCCCTCGGTACCTAGAGCCCTCGGCACCTAGAGGCCCCGGGGATGAAGAGCCTTCGGCTAATCATCTACGGCCGAAGGCATCTCCTCGACAGAATCTCCCACCCACATGCGCTGGATCAACGTACCGAGTACCAACGTCACATCCAACCACCGCATTTAATGCGGCCACATGCGAGTGCCAGTGCCACCCCGTTGAGGTGACCCCTCGACCACCAGAATGATGACACGTGTCCCTATCTAGCATTTATTGCTGCTATAAATAGCACCCCTTTCCCCATTTGTAATCCACGCTGAATACGTTCATTATCAATATACACTCTCTCTCTACTGTTGCTCTGACTTCTCTCTAGTTACTCCCCGCAGTAACCCCTCGGATAGATACCCCGGGTACACTTATCCATCAAAATGTATGTCAAGTGTGATGTATAAATTTTGTGTACACCAAGAATTGTTGATCTTTCTAGAACAATTAACTCTAATCATTATAATGTACTCTCTAGGTCTCATATTTTTGTCTCATTTTGCATTTTTCGTTTGTTCTACTAAATTTATCATACCATATTTGGTATTATTTGGGTGATTGACATTCTTATTTTTCACAATTTGTCATTTTAATACTAACAACACAATTGTCCTTTCACAAGAATCTCACATTTATTTATCTAATCTCAAAATAATCTTACTTTTGCACTCAATCTTCTTTCATTAATCCCAATTGATTGATGACCTGCTATATTATTATTTTTTCTCTTTGGAAAGTTTACATAAATAGTTCCACCTTCTACAAATCTTCTCAAAACAATTCCATATTTTCAAATTTTTTCTCCCTAATATTTTTCATTCTTTATTTCTATCTTTAGACACTTTTTTATTCTTTTTTCGTTGTTTTTTTAATTCTTTTCCATAATTATATATATTATATTTCTCACTCTATTCATAGAGTTTTTTTTGTAAAATTTTCTTTTCAGACAAATATATTTGTCATTTTCTTCTTCTTCTTCTTCTTCCCATATTTTTGTTTCATTTTCCATTTTTTGTATCTCTCTTATTTATCCTTCGGGAGGTAACATCAACATTTCGTGAGGCCCTGGTTCCACCACTATAGCCGACGGGCCGACATAGAACTGTATGGTTTGGAAATCGGAGTCATCATCTCTCGTCTTCAGTCCCGTCAATACCGCCGTGTTCAGATATTGAGTGCCCTTTCAGAATCCCAACAGAATGTCCTCGATTGGCATCTGGCCGAGGGCTGGGGAACTTCTCACCCGGTCAGTTTTCGGATTCCGTCGATGACGTCAATGATATATTTTGGGAATCATCGTCGTAAGACATCTCTACAGGCAAAAAACTGACGGCTAAAGGGAACCTTGTGGCTTAAGGCCACTAACACTAGATCAAACCTGGTAAAAGGCAAAGTACACAACAAACAGGAAGAACAATTGAAGCACTGACCTTAGAAAAATCGTTTTGATCGTCAAAGGGTTTATATATCTAGAGTTGGGCAGAGCTTCGCTTCAGACATAAAAAAACGCACATGCCAAATGACTCTGGATCAAGGGTATTTTTAGGCAATCTAACCACGCTTACCTCGATACCACACCCCCTAGTAAAAAAACCATTATTTCAAACTCATTGGCCCGCCCAATGGCAAAGCCCGCCCAGTATGACCTTATCAATGACTGACGCGTGGCGCCAGTGCCAATGATCACTTCGCCTTTTCCTCCCACGCCATCGGTACAAATCCCCAAGCCCGGGATATCTTGAGAGACCTGAATCTAGATAGCCTCTAGCAGTTCGTGCCACCAGAGTCAAACATTACCGACTTGCAACGCCTTCATCCCACACGCCGGTCATCCCAAACACTTGGGCTACCAATGAAAGAGCCTCCTGCCAACAACCCCGAGACACCCAACTATTTTTAGCTCAAATCTTGCCTAGATTCTATCACGGCCCTCGGGATACCTCAATTCATCAACCCTTTTTCCCCGATTAACCTTCGACCAGAAGGAGCTAGTGAGGGACTAGGGGACTATCCATCGGTCTTTTTCGAAACAAGACTCGAAAATCAGAATGACAACATGTGAGCCTTAAGAAACTCAGTAAAAAACGTAACAAACAACTCCCCTTCACCTCGAATATCTCTCGGCAAAGGGATTGGAGGACTCCTAATGGAGGGGTATATGGCTTAGAAACACCGGACCCACATACTCTTGCCACCTCAACAGGTGCAACTACTTCAAATAGTCCAATGAAGCAATTGGACACACCCCTCGGGCCCACGATTGAGAGCTAGGGACAATGACACCTCATAAAAGGCCATCCTACATATGCGGCCTAGAACATCCTCGTCTCTAGGTGAGCCCTCAGAACAGAGCATTTGGTCACTGAGGGCAAAGCCTGCGGCTCCGGTCCATGAGACCTTTGGGTCAGTAACTTCCAACACTCAACCATCACATCTAATGCTCTGCCACATGCTCGCATCTGCCTCACATCGATGTTATCTCTTCGTCATAGACTAGTTTACATGTGTATGTTCATTTAATGCATTTAGCATTTATGACTAGCATAAATAGTTGCCCCTTGGGCACATGTAACAACTCAAAAATTATTAATATGATTGCTCTCTCTCCAACTTAATAGTTGTGCCTTCTCTATACATACCGCTAGTGGTATTCCGGTTTAGCTATCTATATATATCATTATTGCATATTGATGTTCAGATTATTGCATATTATTTTGCGATGAAATAAACAATTGCATATCACAAAGTCTTGCATCTGAAAAAGTTTGGTTTTATTAGCAAAGTGTCACCGTGCCTTTCTAGCTTTTAGATTAATTCAACAAATGATCATTATGAGTTTGTAGTTTGTAAATTAAGAGGAATTTGTATTTTAACCCTTATCCCAAAACACACTTACTTAAAACGCACCAGCTTACCATACAAGTGCAGTTGAGACGATTATAAGTGTATCTCACGCTATTCACACCTTATGTTTAGATTTGTCTAGACATATATGGATGTTAGGCGTTTTGATTGGGTTGGGGTCAATTGGAGGATGTTGGCTTTTATCTCTTTTTGGTAGATTTTATGGTACCCATAAAGTATCATACTTTTGTCTACATGGACCAATCAAAATATTGTAGTTGAATTATTTAAGTGAAAATTAAAAGTGATATAATGACTAGGACCAATCAAATGAATGATATGTATCGTACTCCTTTTTTTAATAAGGTATTAGAATTCTTACCTCTTTTTTCCCTTTCCTTACCATTTTCTTTTCGCGGGTTTCTCTAATTTTTCTTCTCTCATTAGCATTTTATAACTGTTTTTATAAATTTAATAAAAGCCTATTTTAGTTAATATATTTATGTATATATACGTACATATATCACATATATACATACTTGTTGACTGGTCAAATCTGGTTTGACCCAAGATTAACCATATGTTATTGGTCTTCCATTTATGCCTTTGGAATTTGGATGCTCCTAACTGTCCAAAATCTAATATACTCCACTAAAACCGACTAGTAGCACCACTGCAGTGGTGGAGCCACCCTTTGGCCAGTGGTGTCAATTGACACCACTGCAATTTTTTTTTCCATAGGTAGGTATATTAAAAAACATTAAAATTTAAAATTGACACCACTGAAAAATAAAAATTCTCTATATAGGTATAAATAATCTTTCATAAATTATATATTGACACCATCCAACATTTGCTAAATTGACACCATTGACACGAACTTCTGGCTCCACCATTGAGCACCAGTAAATCAAATAAACCAAGAATCGAAATCATTGGAGCACATAACGCAAAATTAAACCCGAAATCAATAAAAGTCAGATAAAATGAGTGATTAAAATATGAAAAATGAGCTCAAGCATTATCAATACTATATACTTTACTTTTTAAATCACAACGTGTTGAATTTTACACTAGCCACATGGAGGCTCTACTTTGTCTATATTTTATTTATTAATTTATGAGAATTATTTTAAAAAAAGTATCATATTATTCGATTCATATCATTACAAATATTCAAAATCTTATTTTTAAAATTGTTATTAATAGAGAAATGTGTTGGAAGAAAGTAGTTGATGAGTATTATATTTGGGTGATTGTGTGTGGAAGAGAGAATTTTAGAGAGAGGTGATTTTAGAAGAACTTGGAACTTGTATTGATTTGGAGCTTTTGGCTTGCTTTACAAATGAGTGAGGAGTGCTCTATTTATAGGTCTCATAGGATCCTTCTAGGCACTCCTACTTCCTTAACCTTCTAGAATATTCTATAGGATTCTAGCTTAGGAATAATCTAGAATTGTTTAGGTACATTAACTACTCTAGATCTTTCTAAGTCTATCTTATGGGCTAGCTAATTTATTAATTATCATACAACTTCTAGCCCAATAAGTTAACATCTAATGGACCCAATTATTGGGCTAAGTCAAGTTTAATTTCTAGCATCCCCTCTTAAACTTGACTTAGCAACACCAAGTAGATTTCGCATCTTTGCAAAGACATCATGCTTGAGTGGCTTTGTGAGAATATCAGCGACTTGGTCTTGAGTCTTCACATACTCTACTTGAACTTCCTTCTCCGCTATCTTTCCTCGAATGAAATGATATCGAGTGTCTATGTGCTTGCTTCGATCATGAAACACTGGATTCTTTGCTAATGCAATAGCTGACTTGTTGTCCACAAATATTGTTGTTGCTTCTTCTTGACAGATGCTGAGAGCTTGCAATATGTAGCGGAGCCAAATTGCATGACACACACTTGATGTTGCTGCAACGTACTCGGCTTCACAAGTGGATAGAGTGACGATCGATTGCTTCTTTGAAACCCATGTGAAAGCGATGTTTCCCATGTAGAATACGAACCCTGTTGTGCTCTTACGGTCATCAATATATCCACCCCAATCACTATCACAATATCCAACCAGCTTAAACTCATCAGATGAAGAGTAAAACAACCCATATTCGGTGGTGCCTTTAAGATACCGCAAAATCCTTTTTGCAGCCTTCAAATGAGTTGTTGTGGGGGCCTCCATGAATCGACTAACAAGTCCAACACCGAAGAGAATATCTGGTCTTGTACATGTTAAGTATCTTAAGCTCCCCACAAGACTCTTAAAGTAAGTTGGATCAATCAATTTTCCTTTATCATACCTTGATAGCTTTAGTCCACTTTCAACAGGTGTACTTACAGGTTTAGAGTCTTCCATGTTGAACTTCTTGAGTACTTCTCTCGTGTATCCTTCTTGAGTGATGAATATACCATCATCCATTTGTTTCACCTCGATGCCAAGATTGTAACTCATAAGCCCAATGTCAGTCATCTCGAACTCCTTTGTCATGACTTGTTTAAATTCATCAAACATCGTCATGTTATTACCTGTAAAGATGAGGTCGTCGACATATATGCACACGAGCAGTATGTCTCCTTGATGATTTTTCTTGATATATAGAGCATGTTCTTGCGGACATTTCACGAATCCATTAGCTTGGAAGTATTGATCAATTCTACTATTCCAAGCTATTGGTGCTTGTTTAAGCCCATAAAGAGCCTTACTTAGCCTCAACACTTTACCTTCTTGCACTTTGACTTTGTAACCTTCGGGTTGCTCAATGTAGACTTCTTCTTCTAGGAACCCATTTAAGAATGCAGACTTGACATCCATTTGATGTATCTTCCACTTGTTGTGAGCCGCGAATGCAATTATCAATCTTATTGTTTCTAATCTAGCCACGGGCGCAAATACTTCTTCATAATCAATGCCATGTCTCTGGGCGTAGCCTTTGTCCACTAGTCTTGCCTTGTACTTCTCAACTTCTCCTTTTGCATTTTTCTTGATCTTAAATACCCATTTCACTCCAATTGCTTTATGTTTTGGTGGAAGTGTGGCAAGCTCCCATGTTTTATTCTTCACGATTGACTTGATCTCGTCATCCATTGCATCTCTCCATTTCTTGTTTCTTGTGGCTTCTTGAAAACTTAGTGGCTCACAATCACCAAATAGACAAAAGAGTGTAAGTTCATCATTTGAGTTCAAATTTTGTGTTACCTCGTAAAGCTCTTCAATGCTTCTCATGCGTGGTATTTCTCTTTCATCCGAACTTGGTGATGAAGCTTGAGCTTGAGTGGGAGATGGTGGAGGAGTTGTATTTTCATGATTTTCTTCAACTTCTTCTTCATATTCCATGGGAGGCAAGAGACTATAATCTTCTTTGTCACCAATGCTCCAATCCCATGAGCCTTCTTCATCAAACTCCACATCACGACTTATTATAAGCTTTTTCAAATCTGGATTGTAGAGTTTGTACCCTTTTGAGTGTTTATCATATCCAATGAATATAAACTTCTCACTCTTGTCGTCGAGTTTTGACCTAGTTTGATCGGGTACATGCGCATATGCAATGCATCCAAATACTCTCAAGTGTGAGACTCCAGGTTTACCTCCATGCCATGCTTCTTGTGGAGTTTTTCCATCGAGACTCTTCGTGGGGCAGCGATTTTGAAGATAGACAGCACAATCCACAGCTTCAGCCCAAAAATCTTTAGGCATATTCTTTGTTTTTAGCATGCTTCGAGCCATGTTGAGGATCGTCCTATTCTTTCTTTCGGCAACACCATTTTGTTGTGGTGTTCGTGGGACAGTCATGGGACGGCGGATGTCATTATCTTCACAAAATTGATTAAACTCCTTTGATGTGAACTCTCCACCCCGATCTGATCTCATGGCTTTGATACTGTACCCACTTTCTTTCTCAATAAGAGCCTTAAATTTCTTGAATGCTTCAAAGGCCTCAGATTTTTGTTTAAGGAAATATACCCATGTTTTTCTTGAGTAATCATCGATGAAAGTGAGAAAGTACTTACTTTTACCATGTGAACATGGAGTAATAGGACCACATAAGTCGGCATGGACTAACTCCAATGGTTCCTTAGCTCTTGAGGTAACTTCTTTAGGGAATGGTTTCCTTGATTGCTTCCCAAATAGGCAACCTTCGCATAGCTGATCAGGATGATTGATGAAGGGCAAGCCTTTCACCATGCCTTTGGATGATAGCATTTTCAAGCCACCAAAGTTTAAGTGCCCATATCTTAAGTGCCAAATCCATGACTCATCTTTCAAGCAACTTTTTAAGCATATGGCTTGATCTCTTTGAATGTCAAGCAAGAACATTCGGTTTCTAGTCATCGGCACTTTAGCAACTAGTCTTCCATTATTGTCTCGTAGAGAAAGACTACGATTCTTTAAGTGAATATCATAGTCCTTTTCTAAGAGTTGTCCCATACTTAGAATATTTGTTTTTAAGTTGGGCACATAGTAAACATCGGAAATGAATTGGTGACTTCCATCGTTTAGACGGATTAGAACGTTACCTTTACCATTCACCACGACTTTAGACTCATCTCCAAAAGTAACATGACCTTGAGTTTGTTCTACCTTCACGAACATGCTTTTATCTCCCGTCATGTGGTTGCTAGCTCCGGTATCTAAATGCCACGTGCTCTTCTTTGTTTGTTCTTCATGATTTGCCATCAACAAGGTAAGTTCTACCTCATTATTCATCTCCATGAGATGGGCCTCTTCTTTCACATGATTAGAGCGCTTGCATTCATATGCATAGTGGCCATATTTATTGCAATTATGACACTTTAGTTGAGACTTCTCGTACCTTTGTGGTTTGCTTCCTCTCCCACGGCCTCTAGATGCTTGCGTATATTGAATTCTTTCTTCATTGTTGAAGTTTGTATAACCACGACCTCGACCACCTCTTCCACGTGCACCACGACCTCGTTGGCCTCTTTCTTCACCTCTATTCTCCCCTCTTTCTTTAAAAGAGAGTTTGGAGTAAAGAGAATGCTCCAACGATTCATCAGATTTATTTCTCACAACTCTTTCTTCATGGACTTGTAGTGAGCCCATAAGTTGATCAATGGTCATGGACTCTAAATCCTTGGACTCTTCTATGGCCACCACAATATAATCATAGTCTTTGGTGAGAGAGCGAAGGATTTTCTCAATCACCGTTATGTCCTTTAGTTCCTCACCATTCCTCTTCATCTCATTTACAATTACTAACACTCTAGAGAAATAGTCGGATATTGATTCCGAATATTTCATTTTAAGTTGATAGAGTATACCTCTTAGATTCTAGAGAGAAGTGAGAGCTAGAGAGAGAAGTGCAATAATATGCTTCAGTAGAATGATTTTGTAACCCCTATAACTACTCCCAAGGGGAGTATTTATAGAGAAAATTAGGGTTGGGCTCCCAAGCCTTGGGCTTGGGAGGCCCATTTACAACTGGACCGCTACTGGGCCGAATACAAAGCCTCTAATGGGCTGTACAAATGAATAAGTATAGAATCCGTTTCTGGGAGGTCTTCGTGGCCGACGAGGACGTGGCCGACGAGGGCACGGCCGACGAGGGCACCCGGGTTCCTTGGGCTCAGGACCATGATCCGAGTTGGCTTCTTCTCGGCCGACGTGGGCGTCTTGGCCGACGAGGGCGCCACTCTATTGTCTTGTGCTTTCTGTTCTTCCGAGTATGTGGGTCCTGGGGCTCAGACCCATATACTCCATCAGGAGTCCCCCACTCTCTAAGCTGAGACGTAGACGAAGTGAAGGAGAGTAGATTTCTGCGCTTTGTTGCTTTTGGCCGACGCGGGCATTTCCAGACCGTTAGCTGTTGCGGTATTGGCGCTGTTTCCATTTTGGTGATCCTGTTCTGTGCTTTGGCCGTTACCTGTTCCTCGTTGCGGGCGGGGAGGCCGTTGTTTCAATGGTGGCCGTTGAAGGCGATGAGTATCCTTCTTTCGATGGTGGCCGTTGAGGGCGCGCTTTCCCTTTCTTGGCCGTTGGTGGTTGAAGTTTATGTTTGGGCCGGTGAGGCCACTGAGGTTGAACCTTGTTTCGAGGACGATGGCGTCCTTTCCTTTGGGTGGCCGATGAGGGTGTTTGCGCACTCCTTTTGGCCGTTGCTGGTTGGCCTTCGTGTTCTTGGCCGAAGGGCCCGTCAAGATTAATTGTTGGCGGAGGACGATGAGTGTCCTTGCCTCTAGTGGCTTGTTGGCCGTTGCTAGTGACGTTATGGGCCTTTGGCCGATGAAGTTCTGTTGTGCTGTATGGATGATGTGGCCATGTTTTGTGGTTACCTTGTTTATACCTTTGTTTCGTTGAGGCTGGTGTAGTCCCCCAGTCCCCCACTGCTTCAGGCCGAAGAGTGTGAGGGGTGAAGGAGTTTCTTGAGTCCCTAGCCGAAGCGGTCTCGCCGTATTCCCCCTGAATCCAACTCTCATGGCGATTTTCTGGCCAAGGTAACCCTGTGGGAGAACCCTTGTGCGCAGATCGCTTGTAGAGAGTTATCATCAAGGGTTATTACGTGGAGCCGAAGGCTGTGGGCTATTTGTCCCCTTTGTTCTGTGGCCGTTACGTTCCTGGCCGTTGCCGTCTGCTTGTTGCCTGGCATTTGTGATATTGGCAAGCAGATGGGACGTTGTGGGCGCTTGCTGGCAGTTGTGAAGCCGTTGAGCGTGTGTAGGCCGTAGAGTCTGATTTGCCAGTGGGCCGTTGATATGGGTTGGTCCTGGCCCGTTGGTGACGTGGTGGCCCCCCAGTGGTGGCCGTTGATGTGGCCATTGGGAGAGTGCCACGTGTAGTGACCGTTGGTGGGGGGGTCTATAAATACCCCTTCCCCTCCGACAAAAAATCACGTTTGCATTCTGAATTTGTCGAAGTGCTGGCCGATTTTCTAGAGAGAGAAACTCCCGAGCCTGTTCTTCGTGTTCTTCATTGTTTGAGGTTAGTGTTCATCACGATCTTCCTCACTTTTCATACTTTGCTCCGTAAATAGTTGATCTAGTGTTAGGCATTTAAACACCTTTAGATCGTAAGTTCTCCTTAAGCCCGTAGTAGTAGTAATGAAGAGCTTGAACGAGGACTACTACCCCTACGACGACCAGCCCTCCACGAGGTCCCTTGACTACGAGGTGCTCGAGGAGTTTGAAGAGGAGATAGAGCGTTTGAGCCCCTACAAATCCGGAGAGCTGATGGACGAGGAGATCGAGGACGAGGAGTCCGCCTCCTCTTCAGAGGGTGAGGACGTAGGTGCGTCCCGAGCGGTGGACGGGGCGTCCACTTCTGCTGCCGTTCCGTGCCCGAGGCCGGTATCTGCCGTGAAGGGCGACGCTAAGCCGAAGAGGGTGAGGAGGCCGAAGAATGGGCCGGGCCTCTCCTATTTGGACCTCACCAACATATTCCTGATTAAGCCGGAGAGCAGTGAGGCCGACTATCTTGTCGCCCAGATGTACGTGGGGCCGTTCGGGCGGGTTAGGGCACCCAGGCCGACGGACCATGTTCTACTTCCGCCACCGGGATACTTCGGAGTATACCCGATGAGTTTTGCTAAGGGGTTGAGGTTCCCCCTTCACCCTTTCGTCACCGAGTATCTGGACATGGTGGGGCTTCCTCCGGCCTTCTGACGCCGAACAGTTATTCCTTGATAGTGGGCTTCTTGCTTCGGTGTGAGGAGTTGGGCTACAGGCCGACCACGGCCTTATTCATGAACTTGTACCAAATCGGTCGAGGAAGCCACAAGAACTGTGCGGCCTATGCTACTCTTCAACAGCTGCCGAGGAAGAGGAGCTTCACGGATTTGCCTACGTCCATTCATGGGTGGAAGAGCAAGTTCGTGTTTGTGTCCATTGGTGAGAGTGGCACCGAGTTCCCCTCCCTCGGCCATACCGGGAGGTTCAATCTTCATGACCCGCCGAAGAGCTCTATTTTGGACGCTCAGGTGGAGGCTTTCCTGGAAGGGGGGCCGAGGAGCGTGAAAGATTACGTCACTGAATACAAGATGACGGCCCTCGGCTTCTTCAGATATCACTTGTATGGAGATAAGGAGGATGACCTCCAGCTCTGGCCGAGGATGACCACCACCTTTGAGGAGGCCGATGGCCCGGATTTGGGCATTCCTGCTGAGGCCGATGGTAATTTTCCTTCGGCTTTCTGTCTTTACGTTTTTGTCCTTTGCCTTGCTAATCTGTTTGTTTTCCCTTTGTAGACTTTGTCATGGACCGCCGTTCCATGATGGCCATTGCGAAGGCCAAAGCGGCCGAGGAGATTGCTGCTAAGGCGGCCGAAGCGGCCAGGCGTGCCGCGGCCGGTGTGAGCGGGGCTACTGCAGATGCGGCCCCAAAGCCTGCCCCATCCAAGAAAAAGAGACCGGCCACTGACGGCCAGAAAAAGTTGACCGAGGCCGGTGTGAGCGTCTCTAAGAAGACGAAGAGGGCTCCTTCCCCTTCTCCGGCCAGTGAGGCCGGTACGCTTGTTGTCCCCAGCGTGGGCGATGGTGGTCCCGTCGTGGACCTTACTGTTGCTGGTGATGCCGCCCCAGCGCTGCCTCTCGTCCAGGAACCACAGACGAAGAGGGCCGGCAAGGAGATCGCCGGTGACACCTATCAGAAAGTGATAGAGTACCCCGTCGGCGGGGGCGTGTTTAATGAGCTCGTCCCCGGCCACGTCGTCCTTGCCAAGGCCATGCCGGCCAAAGATCGGGCTCATCTGAAGAAGCTCGAGGACCCGAAGATTTATGAGGGCGGCATGGATCTCCTCGTCCAAGTAAGTGATTGTCTTTATATTCTTGTCTCTCTTCGTCTATGTAGAGTTTTTGCCTGACCTTTGTTTTTCTTATGCAGAGTGCCTTCATGCTTATGGAAAGCCATAAGAGGCAGTACTGGGAGATAGTCCGCCTGCAAGCACTGGAGCAGAAGGCTGCCTCGGCCGACGAGGCGGTAGCTTGCCTTGACCGGCTTCGGGAGGATGCCAAGGCGCTGCAGGCCAAAGCTGATGAGGCCGTCGCGGCCAGGGACGTTGCCCTGGTCCAGCTCGAAGAGAGCAAAAGGGAGCTCGCAGAGTCCCGTAGAGCGCTTGAGGCCGAGAAGCGCAGGAGCGAGGAGGCCGCCAAGGCGAAAGCTGAGGCCGAGGCCGCCGTCGTGAGGGCTGCTGATGAGGCTGTTGAGAAGTTCTTGGCCGAAGGGTGGAAGGCCGATGAGAGGCTCCCCTGGTGCTACGAGGTGGTGGCCGCCAGGCTAGAGAATTGGGGGATGAACTCCCCTGCCGGCCGGGAGTATTTCAGCCAGGAGATGTCTGTTTACTACAACCTGGGCCAGGAGCGGATGCAAAGGCTCCTGTACCGGCGGCTATCCCGGGCGTTGAAGGCCATGAATTACACGGCTGGATGGGCTAGACGGAACCTGAAGCTCCCAAAGCTGATGAAGGATCCCGAAGGGCAGGCCACGCTTCCGCTGTCGGAGCGGGAGTCCCCCATAGAAAGCTCCGGCCTCGGCGAGCCGGACTATACTGAGTTCGATTTCTTGGATGATGCCACCAGCGCCGCTGCCGGCCAGGAAGCTGAGGCCGATGAGGAGGGGGCCGACGAGGTTGAAGAGCCAGCCGTGGAGGCTTGATCGGCTAGTCCCCATTGTAGTTAGCTTTTCATTTGTTGCCCAATTATGTAATGGCCGTAGTGCCCCCCAATTGTAATGAAATTTATCAATTGAAGAAATTTTTGCTGTCCTTTTCGGCCTTGAATCCCTTGTATGTTTGTTTGCTTTGTCATTTTAATTCTGTAAATTGTCTAAGTAACAAGTCATAACTTGGGTCACCCGCGAGTGTCCGCTACGTCCATGAGGTTGGCCTTCCCGTCCAGTAATCTGGTCGGCCTATGCCTCTTTGCTTTACTGTCATAACACTTAGGATTTTGCTTCAATAATTCCCCAAGTGTTTTTTGGGTCCATGTAGCTCCTGTCTTTACGGCCTAGTGGCCTGATCGGCTTGGACGTAGTTTCATAACACTTAGGAATTTTTCAAAATTTTTCTAAGTGTTTTGGGATCCACTTAGGTGCTTCCCTTTCGGCCTGGTGGCCTGGTCGGCTTGACCGGTGTTCCTTTGCCATCATAACACTTAGGATTTTTTCACAAAATTTCCTAAGTGTTTTTGATTCCTTTTAAGTGCTTCCCTTTTTAGCCCTGACCGCAGTGTCCGTTCCGTCCAGGCGTTGGCGTCCTTATCGTCCTGGCCTTGGATTCATCCCAGGTGTTTTAGCCAGGGCCGTTGTCGGCTTGTAACCCTGTGTTCTGGCCGATAAGGGCACCTTCACCATAGTCTTGTGGACTGAATTTTTCACAAGTACACATGTAGAGGTGTAGGTGGTTAACGGCTTTGTAGTATACTGGTACCCGCTTCGGCTAGAATTCCTTCATTTGAGTACTTAGATAATTTCCTGAGTATAAATGTCAGGTATTTACGTCTTTGTGGTGCCCTTGTCGGCCAAGGTCTGGCTTGTGGCCGATGAGGGTGCTGGGTAAGGAGTAGCTTGTCCAAGGAGATGGTCCTGCCTTCGTCGGCTAGTCATGGTTCCGGTGCCTGTGTCGGCTATCCGAGGTGTGTTGGCAAGTAGAGGTTGCATCTTGATTACTTGATCCTTTCGCGGTTGTGACAATTGCCCGCTTCGTTTTTGCGATGCTTTGTTTCATACCAAGCGTTGGTGCCTCAAAGGACTATGGCCGATGAAGGTCACCTCTCGCGTGTCACCCAACCGATGTGGTTAGGGTTTCATAGGCGTGTGTATCGGCCTTGATTGTTCCCTCGTGGTGCGTGGACGTGTCGTCCATGCTGCCTGTCAGTGGTACTAAACTTGTGTTCAACTGATATGTACTTGGCCGAAATGGGCCTGAATTTTGGGGATTTTATTTTTTCATTGCTCGAGGCCGGCAAGTGTGCGCGGCCGTCGGCTTCCCTCTTTTTCCCTTGTATTTTATTTTATTTATTTTTTTTGTTTCGGGGGGTATCCTTCTTTCAGGCTTCGGCCGAGGGGTGTGCTCGTCCTTCGGCCGGTTCGGACTTCGTTTATAACGTCCGTGGTCTCAGGGCGGGTCCCGTCGCCTATTTATGACGCGGGCTAGACTTTTGGTCGGTTTCCAACGGCTGTCGTTGCCCATCCCTGAGTTTTGGGATTTTGTCACCTCGACCATGATTTCAGGCCTGTCGTCCTGCGATCTGGCGCGTGGACGACGCGGTGAGCTTCCCGTTTCAAGACGTGGGCCGTTTGCGGGCCCCTCGTCCTGGGGACATCGTCGGCCATACCTGAGCGTTTCACTTCTAGGCTTACGGGGCCAGGACGATGTGCTCTCTCAGCTAGGCCTGAGCCCTTCGCTGATGCAAAATACAATGGAGTGCCTGAGCTTGTCGCTCGTAGGCTGCAATGCAAGGGGCCATGTCGGCCAGACCTGAGCCTTCTGCTCTAAGGTGGCCGACGAGGGCACCTGCCAATGTTTTACTTTAAATTCCAGAGAAAAAATCAGAACATGATTTTATTCATAAGTGGCTCGAGGCCGAGGGTGGCGTTCAATCAGTAACCCGTTAAGGGGTGAGGGCTTCGCCGTCTACACCTCCTTCGGATTACTGATAAAACTTCACCAGATGATGTACATTCCATGTTCGTGGTACATTGGACCCATTCGGGCGTCTAAGCTTGTAGGTGCCGGGTTTGACCACGGCACTGACGATGTAGGGCCCTTCGTACTTCAATGCTAGCTTGCCGCCCTCTGTTGGCTGGCTTGCTTCCCTTCGGCGGAGGACGTAGTCCCCCACCTGAAATTCCCGGGAACGTACCTTGGCGTCATAGTATGATTTCACTTGACGCCGGTAGTTCTCTGCTCGGACGTAAGCTTGCTCACGCCTCTCATCAACCAGGTGTAGGTCAATCTTCATGTTCTCTTCGTTGGTGTCAGGCTCATATTGCTCCACTCGCCGGCTGGGGATGGCTACCTCCGTGGGCGCCTTCGCCTCAAAGCCGTAGCACAGGGCGAAAGGTGTTTCGCCTGTCGCCCTCCTCGGCGTGGTTCTGTAGCACCACAGGATGTTGGGGAGCTCGTCGACCCAACTACCTCCTGCGGCCTGGAGGTTCTTCTTCAGCCCCTCCATTATTGTTCTGTTGGCGTTCTCGACCTGCCCGTTGCCCTGAGGATAGGCAACGGAGGAGAAACGGTGCCTCACCCCAAACTCCCGGAGGAGCTCCTGAAAAGGGGCTGCCTCGAATTGGGTGCCGTTGTCTGATATAATCTCCTTGGGGACGCCAAAGCGTGTAATGATGTTCTTGTAAACAAACCTTTGGCATCTGGCCCCCGTGATGCTGGCCAAGGGTTCCGCCTCGACCCACTTGGTGAAGTAGTCGACGGCGACGATGATGTAGCGGTTATTCCCAGCGGCTCTGGGCAGGGGGCCGCCAGGTCAATCCCCCATCTGGAGAATGGAATTGCGGTGCTGACAGGGGCATAGTTGACAGCTGGCCGACCAGGAGCTTTCTGGAGTAGCTGGCATGTGGTGCACTTCCTGGCCAGGTCAGCGCAGTCTCGTGCCATCGTCGGCCAGAAGAAGCCCTGGACGACGAGACGCCGGGACATGCTGAAAGGACCCTGGTGCGAGGAGCAGACGCCACAATGAACTTCTTCCATGGCAGTATCGGCCTCGTCCTGGTGCAGGCATCGGAGGAGAGTGCCATTGTAGGACCGTTTGTAGAGTTTGCCATCTTTGATGGTGTAGCTTGGGGCCCTGAGTTTGGCGAGTTTGGCCCTCTCCTCGTCCGGGGGCAACTCCCCCGTTGTGATGAAGGTGGTGATGTCGGAGATCCAGTCCTCTGGTCGCTGGTGGACGCACAAGACGGGGCTGGCATGGATACTGGACATGCTCAACTCCTCGATCTTGGCCAACTGGGAGATGTGCTCCGGGGTGTCCGAGCTGAGCTTGGAGAGGATGTCGGCTTCGGCGTTCTCGGCCCTTGGGATCTGAGTGATCTCATGGGTTTCAAACGCTTTCAGCAATTCCTCCGTCGCTTGTTTGTACTGCTTCATCCGGCCTTCCTTTGCTTCGTACGATCCCTCCACCTGGCCCACTACCAGTTTGGAATCGCACTTGATTCTGAGGTGCTTGGCCTTGAGGCCGGCGGCGAGTCTGAGACCGCTGAGGAGGGCCTCATACTCGGCTTCGTTGTTGGATACCCTGAAGTTGAAGCGGATGGCATAGTAGGCTCTGAATCCTTCAGGGGATATGAGGACGACGCCGCCGCCGCATGATTTCGCGGCCGACGAGCCGTCAGTGAACAGGGTCCACGTGTCGTCTGGCTCCGGCCCGGGGTTGGCGACGGCCGTCTCCCTTGCTGTGCATTCGATGACGAAGTCGGCCAAGGCTTGCCCTTTGATAGATGGCCGTGGCTTGATCTCAATTTGAAACTGGCTGAGGAAGATCGCCCATTTCACCATCCTCGAGGAGCTAGTGGGGCTCCTCATGAGCGCGCCGAGAGGCTGCTGGGTCAGCACATGGACGGTGTGGGCTTGGAAATAGTGCCCCAGCTTCTTCACGGTGTGGACGATGGCCAGCACCGTCTTCTCAATGGGGGAGTACCTGAGCTCGGCCTCCCTAAGTGTCTTGCTGATGTAGAAGATGGCCTTCTGCACCCCTTCGTCCTCACGGATGAGCACGGAGCTGATGGCCGACGTGCTCACCCCCAAGTACAGGAAGAGGGTTTCGCCGGCTTTGGGCTTGGAGAGTATGGGTGGAGACGATAGGTACCTTTTCAATTCGTCGAATGCTTCCTGGCACTCCGTCGTCCACCTGAAGTTGGTTGCCTTGCGCATGATCTGGAAGAAGGGGAGTGCCCTCTCAGCTGACCTGGAGAGGAACCGGTTTAAGGCCGTCAGGCGCCCCGTCAGTCGCTGTACCTCCTTGACGTTGCGGGGCGGCTCCATGTTGATGATGGCCTGCGTCTTCTCCGGGTTTATCTCGATGCCTCTCCGGCTGACCATGTAGCCAAGGAACTTGCCGCCTTGGACGCCGAAGGCGCACTTCTTGGGGTTAAGGCGGAGCCTGAATTCCTTCATGATTTCGAAGATTTCCCGGAGGTCGTCGGCGTGGGAGGTGGCCTGCCTGCTCTTGACGATCATGTCGTCGACGTATGCCTCCATCGTCCGGCCAAGGACCGCTCTGAAGATTTTGGCCACCATCCTAGTATAGGTGGCGCCGGAGTTTTTGAGTCCGAAGGCCATGACGAGGTAGCAAAATATTCCCTCTGGGTCATGAATGCCGTCTTCTCGGCGTCATCTTCGTGCATGGAGATCTGGTGGTACCCTCTGAAAGCGTCGAGGAACGACATCAACTCGCACCCCGCCGTCTCGTCCACCAACTGATCAATGTTGGGGAGAGGGAACGGGTCCATGGGGCACGCCTTGTTCAGGTCAGTGTAGTCAACACACATCCTGAACGTCGGCGGTTTTTGTGCGAGGACGACGTTGGCCAACCATGTTGGGTACTTCACCTCTTTGATATGTTTGATCGATAGGAGCATGGCGACCTCCCCTTTGACGAAGTCCCGCCTGTCAGCGGACAAATAGCGCCGCTTCTGTTTGACGGGCGCGGAGGCCGGATCGACGGTCAGCCGGTGAGTGATCACCTGGCGGCTGATGCCGGGCATATCGTCCGAGCCCCATGCGAAGACAACGGCGTATGACCGTAGGACGAGGAGGATGGCGTCTCGTTGGTCCTGGGGGAGTTGCTTTCCGACCCTGAGAACCCGCTCCGGCCGGGAGGTATCCAGAGGGATTTCCTCGACCTCCTCGGCCGGCTCCGCATGTGGCCTCTCCTCGTCCATGGCGACGGCGGCCGTGATGGTGTCTATCCGCTGTCCTTCCCTCTCGGCCGGCCTCGTCAGCTTGAGGTAGCAAGCTCTGGCTATCCTCTGATTTCCTCTGGCGTAGCCGATGCCGTCATTGGTGGGGAACTTCAAGCATAGGTGCTTCATGGAGATGATGGCCTCCAAGTCCTCCAGCGCTGGCCGGCCCAAGATTAGGTTGTGGGCGCACTGGAGGTTGACCACCATGAACTCCATGTCAATTTTGGCATGATGGGGGCCGTCACCGACTTCCACGGGGAGGACTATCGTGCCCTCGGCGTCGATAGAGTCCCCGGTGAAGCCGGATAACGGGGTCTTGATCGGCTTCAGCAGAGCTCTGTCCAGCTTCAGCTGCTTGAAGGTGTCCAAGTACATCACATTGACGGAGCTCCCCGTATCGATGTAAGTACGGTGGATGATGGAGTCACCGATCTCACATCGGATGACGAGGGCGTCCCTGTGTGATTCCGTACCCGGAGGCAGATCCTTGTCAGTGAAGGTGATCGCCTCCGTCCGCTGCTTCTTCGGCTGGGGGGAACGTGGGACACCTCCCCAATGTAAAGGGATTGGGCCCATTTCTTTCTCTGAGTGGCGGAGTCCCCCCCAGTGTTCTCGGCATAATCGAGGATGGTGCCGACCGGGTGGGTGAGGGTTACCCCCGGCCGTTCCAGCCTCGGCCGCCAGTGGCGGTCTTTCTTACTTTGTCCACCAGAGCCGTGGCGGCCCTGGGCACCCTGGCCGGCCGGGGACGGACCCGGGGCCGACGAAGGATTTGTCTTCCTGGGGGGATGGCCCCCCTCTCTCTTGTGGTTGTGGAGCTCGTCGGCGTCGGCATACAAGCCTCCGCGTTGGAGCGCCTTGGCATACGACCTCGGGGGGTCGGTGATGAGACTCCTGGCGTACGGGGAGCTGCGGAGGGCTCCCTGGTACAAGGCGAGGAGGGTGCGCTCATCGGCCCCCTCGACCTCCTCGGTCTCCCTCGTCCACCGGTCGATGAATGACCGGAGGGACTCCTCGTGCTGCTGTTTGACGGAGAGGAGGTGGGTGAAATACTTCTTCGCGCGCTTCCTCCCGGCAAAGTGAGTGAGGAAGCGCTGGGCGAGATCCTGCCATGAGTCGATGCTTCCTTCTGGCAGCCCGTTGAACCACTCGTACGCTGGCCCCTCGAGAGTAGAGAGGAACCAACGGCAGAGGTATTCGTCGGACGCGTTCACCATCAGCATGTTGTTTTGATAATGGCTGAAGTGTTCCTGGGGGTCTGATCGGCCATCGTAGGACTTGATGGCGTTCCCCCTGTATTTCTCAGGGATGGGGGCCGAGAGGACTCTGTTGGTGAAAGGGGTCCTAGTCCTGACCTGGATGATGGGGTCACCCCGCCCTTCGGCCAGCTCCCTCTCCAGGGCGCTGACTTTGTTCATGAGCGCGTTGAGGCCGGGGTCGTTGGAGGCGCCGGCCGTAGGGATGTTGACTGACTGCTTGGCCTCCATCTGAGCCAACCTCCTTTCCAGCTGGGCAATGACCTCGTCCCGGGGGTCCCTGTCGGCCGCGGCGGCACCCGGCTGGTTCCTCAGGCGCTCGTTGTGGGCCGCATTGATCTGGTGACGCACGTCATCCTCGTGCAACTTCCCCTTGCCCTTGTCCGGGCGGGGCTGGTCCGCTGTCCGGGATACAGACCCCAAACTCTCCCTTGGCGAGCCAGGACGAGGATCACCAATCCGTCCCGCCATCCTCTCCGAAACCGGACGACGGCGCGTGTCACCTAGCCTATTGAAGGCAGAGGCTTTTCCACGCGCTGGGGTCTGCCCGGGCCGAAGAGGGGAAGCAGGGTGGGAGTGGGACGACGCCGTGTCCTGGGCCACAACCCCCTCATTGTTGCCTATCTGGTCGGCCAGTGGTTGGGGGTGAGGAGGTGGAGTGAAGTTTCCCCCGGTCCTTGGTAAGAGTGCGCTGAGGACGGTGGGATTCTGAGCCAAGCTGGCGATGATAGCCGACAGTGCGGCCTGGACCTGAGGATCTACGGACGGAGAGGCCGTGGCCATAGGCTGGGCCGGGGCGTGGTCCGCTTTCTCAGCTCGTTTCTTTTCCAGGCCGAGGCGGGCGTCGGGGACTCCGCCGTTGAGTTGGTTGCGGAGGTCCGTCGTGAGGTTGAAGGCCTCCTGGAAGAGGTCCCCTCCGCCGACCTGGTCGGCCGTGGCGTCCTCATCGTGCTCCCTGGGCTCTTGGTCCTCAGGGATGACTTTGCTGACGAGGTTGCGGTTTGACTTAGTTCTCCCCATGATCAGTGGTTAGCTGTGCTTGGTAGCGACGAAGGGTGCTAACTTGATTGTTCTAGCTCTCAACGAGAGCACCAAATGATAGAGTATACCTCTTAGATTCTAGAGAGAAGTGAGAGCTAGAGAGAGAAGTGCAATAATATGCTTCAGTAGAATGATTTTGTAACCCCTATAACTACTCCCAAGGGGAGTATTTATAGAGAAAATTAGGGTTGGGCTCCCAAGCCTTGGGCTTGGGAGGCCCATTTACAACTGGACCGCTACTGGGCCGAATACAAAGCCTCTAATGGGCTGTACAAATGAATAAGTATAGAATCCGTTTCTGGGAGGTCTTCGTGGCCGACGAGGACGTGGCCGACGAGGGCACGGCCGACGAGGGCACCCGGGTTCCTTGGGCTCAGGACCATGAGCCGAGTTGGCTTCTTCTCGGCCGACGTGGGCGTCTTGGCCGACGAGGGCGCCACTCTATTGTCTTATGCTTTCTCTAATTTTTCTTCTCTCATTAGCATTTTATAACTGTTTTTATAAATTTAATAAAAGCCTATTTTAGTTAATATATTTATGTATATATACGTACATATATCACATATATACATACTTGTTGACTGGTCAAATCTGGTTTGACCCAAGATTAACCATATGTTATTGGTCTTCCATTTATGCCTTTGGAATTTGGATGCTCCTAACTGTCCAAAATCTAATATACTCCACTAAAACCGACTAGTAGCACCACTGCAGTGGTGGAGCCACCCTTTGGCCAGTGGTGTCAATTGACACCACTGCAATTTTTTTTTTCCATAGGTAGGTATATTAAAAAACATTAAAATTTAAAATTGACACCACTGAAAAATAAAAATTCTCTATATAGGTATAAATAATCTTTCATAAATTATATATTGACACCATCCAACATTTGCTAAATTGACACCATTGACACGAACTTCTGGCTCCACCATTGAGCACCAGTAAATCAAATAAACCAAGAATCGAAATCATTGGAGCACATAACGCAAAATTAAACCCGAAATCAATAAAAGTCAGATAAAATGAGTGATTAAAATATGAAAAATGAGCTCAAGCATTATCAATACTATATACTTTACTTTTTAAATCACAACGTGTTGAATTTTACACTAGCCACATGGAGGCTCTACTTTGTCTATATTTTATTTATTAATTTATGAGAATTATTTTAAAAAAAGTATCATATTATTCGATTCATATCATTACAAATATTCAAAATCTTATTTTTAAAATTGTTATTAATAGAGAAATGTGTTGGAAGAAAGTAGTTGATGAGTATTATATTTGGGTGATTGTGTGTGGAAGAGAGAATTTTAGAGAGAGGTGATTTTAGAAGAACTTGGAACTTGTATTGATTTGGAGCTTTTGGCTTGCTTTACAAATGAGTGAGGAGTGCTCTATTTATAGGTCTCATAGGATCCTTCTAGGCACTCCTACTTCCTTAACCTTCTAGAATATTCTATAGGATTCTAGCTTAGGAATAATCTAGAATTGTTTAGGTACATTAACTACTCTAGATCTTTCTAAGTCTATCTTATGGGCTAGCTAATTTATTAATTATCATACAAATTCTAGTCCAATAAGTTAACATCTAATGGACCCAATTATTGGGCTAAGCCAAGTTTAATTTCTAGCAAAATGTGTGTTGACAAATGGTGCGAAGTTGAGTATTGCAAGTAAAAAAGAGCAAATGAGAAATATATAGTATTATGGTAATTATCTCTTAGGTAGGTAGCATAAATTAAATGTACGTACACAATATTAATTAATCCTTAACGTACGCATCACACATGCATGTACGAAATCCAATGTATATTGTAAGGGAATTGAAGATGTGCTTCGTAGATAATAATAGCAGCCAAATCAAAATTCTCAACACAATCCATGCATAGTTCTATATAATGATCCTATCTGATGTGAACATACAATATAGCTTAGCTTCAATTCATGATATATATATATATATATATATAATTATGGAGTAGTAAATATGAGTGTATGGTGGTGTGTATATATATATATGGTGGATCATGAATTAAGCTAGCTAGCTAGGCCTCTACCGACTGAAGTCTAGGAGCAGCAGCAGCTGCAGGCTGCAGCTGCAAATGATGGGCTGCACTTTTCTGAATGAGTTTGACGATGTCGATTATTTGTTCATGAGTCAGCTCAGTACCAACAACCTGCTGCTGTTTTGGCCTGCAGTTATTCTCATCATCATCATTATTAATAGCAGTATTGTTGTCCAGGATTACAACTGCAGGAGGTAATTTTCCCACCTCACCATCCTTTGCCATCTCCTTCTTCTTGTCCTTGTACATCACGTACAGCCCAATTTGAACGATTCCAAAGAAGAACCCCAATACATTTGGCACCTGTTTATACATTTGGCCGGTTGAATATATGAAATTAAATTGAAGAATGATCCATATATATATATGATGGATTATTGTAACGCACTTACGGTAATGTTCATGTCTTTTTGGAAGAAGCCGTAAAAGAACCAGACCACTGCACTAACGGTGAGGAAAAGTGAGAGGAGCAAAGGCATGTTTTCAACACTCTTCGTTTTAATCACTTGCCTCTGCATGCATGCATGCAACAACATGCACTTGATCAATTTGATGTATATATATATATATATATATTCAAAATAATTAGATTTGACAAATATATATAATGGAAGACCGATGGACTTATTACGAGAATGCAAAGCGGTGCAACGAAGACACACAAGGCAAAGACAAGGCAAATCCATCCCACAACTTCCACCCGAACGGCGCCTTTGAATAGGTATTGAGTTACCCCAACAATTGCGGCAGACCCGGCACCCACAAACAAAACAAGAACCTTGCTCGTACGCATCCTGGTGTTATTCGATGAGTAGACGAGGAAGAAAGCAATGTAAATGGTCTCGATGAAGCAGCCGAAGGCGTTGATGGTGATGAGGAGGGTTGTGTTTTGGGCTTTCACTAAAGCGTAGTATATCCAAAGCAACGCACTGAATAGTCCAACCACATATGGAATTGATTGATATCCTTCCGTCGATCTCTTCTTGTACATCTTGTAGAATGTTGGCCTGCATATACATATACATATACATATAACGCGCGCTGTCTAACCACCTCAATTTGAGATGCTTCTATGCGTAGAATTTTTTGCTTTAGTTCATGTATCTAGGTACATGAACTAACTTAAAGTGTTCGATTAGCCCCTTATATAGGAGGTTCTGCCCGGCCGTCGCCAATTGTGGAAGTTCCCAGTGGAATTTTTTGATAAATTTTTTTGAGCATCTTCTTCATTAAGTCTAGTTTACTTATACAAAATTTCAGCTAAAAATTCAACCGGAAAGGCAGTCAAATGAGTTTTTGAAGATAACTACGTAGTTAAACAGCGCAGTACATTTCAGAAAATCATTCGATTGCCTTCCCGATTTAATTTTTAGCTGAAATTTGATATAGGTAAACTAGACTTAATGAATAAGATGCTCAAAAAATTTTATAAAAAAATCTTACCGGGAATTGCACCAATTGGCGACGATCGGAAAGAACCTCCTATATAAGGGGCTAATTGAACACTTTAAGTTAGTTCATGTACCTATTTTACCCTTTAGCCTTTATATATATGATGAGTGAGACAAAAGTTTTAAAGGAGATTTCCATAAATAAGATTAAATAAAAGAAAAGTTGCAACAATAGGAGTTTAAAGTTTAAATTCACAAAATATGACTAACTTTTCCTATTCAACTCTTTCTCTTGCCCATCTTAATAGGATTTTTTTAAACAATAATTATAAAACATAATAAAATAAAATAAATAAAAAATGCACTTTTAAGTGGAAAAGTTCTAATTTTCAAAAAATTATTAGTTACAGTACTAAATTTGCAAGCGAATAAAGTTACGGGACTGTTAACGATAACAACTGAAAGTTACCAGACTAAAATTGTTAACATCTTTTAATTGGATATAGTGGCTGCTTGGGGGTGATTATATGCCAAATTAAATATTACCTCCGTCACGAAAAGGTTTGTCAAATTGACTTTTTTTTATCAATGATGACAAACTTTGAACAATGATTTTAGTTATTATATTTGTATATAATTTATAAATTTTATACTTTAATGAAAATATTTTCAATAAGGAATATTTTGATATAATTTTCATATTCTATATAATTTTGTATTAAAATATATTATTAGTCAAAGTTGATTGTCATTGATCAAGAAAAGTCAATTTGGTAAACTTTTTGGGGAAGAGGGAGTATGTGAAATATTTTATAGAAAATGGATGTATAAGACGTCTCACATTGGAGAAAGGAAGACGATGAACGAGATGATGTTTCCTGCAAATAAGGGATAAAAAAGAAAGAATTATGGAGCTAGAGAACAAAAGGGAATTAATGAATAGATGAATATAGTAAACGCACGCACGCACATGTATGTACTATACTACCATATACCACCTCCTTCCCATTAAGATTGGGACGAGAGTAGATGACATGATTATTAAGAAAAATGGGTTTGTGTGGTTGATACTCCATTCATCTCTTATAACTTTGTCAACTTTTCTTGTTTTGATGTCTCACAAATTTTGACACTTTCCATTTTAAGTAAAGAATTTGTGGTTCCGGTTCATTCTCTCTCCTCTGCACAAATCTCAATCGCACAATTTTTACTTTATTATTTCACGTGCCAGTCAAACTTGGCAAAGTTATTAGGGATGGAGGGAGTATTAAATTGATAAAGTAAGAATAAAGTAAGAATGGTTTAAAGCCACACAATCTTTACCAAATTTGGTATGGAACAATCTTAGTGGGACTTTCCGAAAAGGTAAAATGGGACAATCTTAGCGGGACGGAGGGAGTAGTACTTTTATATTCCCTCCGTCCCATTAGACTGCCAATTTTCCTTTTATGATTGTCCTAAAAAACTTTGTTACTTTTCTATTAAAGCAACTAATTTGTGGTTCTTCACATTTATCTCTCTTATACACATTTTTTACTATTCTTATTTTTCACCTACTTTGCACTTGGCAAAGTCCCCGGAGGTAGTATGTTTGATATTGCATTTTTGGCATTGACAAGGCACTTCAATTTTCCACTATTCCAAGTGTTCATTCTACTTGACTCCACTTTATTTGTTAATATAAATATCAATACCTTATCCGTGAGGGGTCCCCATTAGGTCATTACTGACCAGATAACTAAATGAGAGAATGTAAATTAGACTTTAATTACAAGTTATTATTGACTAAAGAAATTGTCCAAAATAGGACTAAAACATAGTCAAAACTCCAAAATAGGACCATAAGTTTGTTATTCCCCAAATAGGACTCGAGATTACAATTTTGCCCCTTCAGCTTGAGTAAATTGAGTTTGAAATTCCCCAGTTCAGGGGATGTACGTCCTCAACTGCAGACGCTTCCCCCTACTTCAGGGGACGTACGTCCCCAGGAATTTATTATTTATTTATTGTCTACTTCAATAAATAAATGGGGCTTCGATGAGCTTCATTAAGGTCATTTTTACTCCTATGTATTACGGACGAAACTTGGACTCCTATATATATGTGCACAAATGCATTGTTTTACTCCTATTGGGGTAATTTTCCCTATTGAGTATGGTTCTGTCCAAATATATGTAGAAGTTCTATGTACTTTTCACACAATAATCTATTATTGTAGTTGCTAGGATTCGAACCCGACATTTACCCCATTGTGACACTCCGTATGTACGAGTTGAGCTACACCCATTGTGGCACTTAATGCATGATATAAATCATTACGGATTTTGATCTCCAAAAAATAAAAGGTAGCAAAGAATGGTTTAAGTTAGCGCGCGCGTAACTTAATTAGAAGCTAAGCAAAGAATGGATATTCGATCTTCACCGGTCCGATGATATAGCTAGGCTACAAAACATGCATGCATGCATAATATAATAGGTACTGCTGGATCGATCCGTAGAAGCGACGACGACATGCATATGTAAGTAAAGCGACAAATAATACATACAGTAAATTAAATGCAAGTGTATAGATATTAATATATACTATGTACCAAGAACACCGAAAGCAAAAGGCCAGTCAACATGGCCAGAGAAAACCATGATGATGAGATGAATTAGCTTATAAAATAGGCCAGGTAGCTATGAGAAGTAGCTAGCTAGCAATGAATTGAACTAATATGTGTATGTATATGTGTGGATGGATTGGAGTTTAATGTAGTGTATGCATGGAGGTCCAGGCCAGGCCAGGTAGAGATGTATGTATGTATGTCTAGGAGGACTACACAATGAGAAATTGGAAGCCAATTATGATTGCATTGCATTGCATTCCATGCATGCCTATTTATATTGGGAAAGTTGTTGTTCCAACTAATTTATCAGTGCATGTCGTTATTTTTGTCCTTACTGTTGCATGCGTCACCAATCAATGTTTATTGTACCATTTCCGTATGCTGTTTTGCATGCCTTTTCATTATTCTTTTCAAATGGCTAATGCACTCTATCTAATATTCAGACGGAAGCAGTGATGTGATTTTTAAGAAAAATAGAATTATATGGTTGATAATAAGTTGATAATATAGGAATAAATTAGGAATGAATTAGTGTGTCACACAAATTTAACCAAATACAGTACTAGTATGAGACAATAATAGAGGGACATCCAAAAATCGAAAAAATGAAACAATTATATGAGGACGGAGGGAGTATCTTCTAAATTACATTTGACTCGGATTAAAAAAGTAGAAAATGTGTAGTTAAGAAGTGTGTAATAAATATTGTGAACCATCAATTCTTTAACGAAAAAAGGAAAGTGAAAATTGGACTGTGAAAAGAAAATCGGAAGAAATTAGGGAGAGGGAATATATATCGCAAAACTGCTTGATGTACACACCATTGTACACACCTTATACACACCATGTTTGTGAAGCTTTTTTGTCTGTGAATCCGGTTCACAGACAATATTTTGTTTGTGCAAAACATTGTCTGTGAGTAGGGTTGGACTCGGGTCCGGGCCGGGTCCGGGTCGGGCCTAGGCCCGGGCGGGCCGGCGGTTCAAGAATGGTGGACCCGGGACCGGCCCGGGTAGCCACCGGGTCCGGGCCGGGTCTGGGCCGGGCCTCCCACCCTCCCAAACCCCCCAAACCCATCCTACCCATCAAGCCCAACCCGGATGGAACCCCAAAAATGAAAAAAAAAATTAAAAAAAAATCAATTTGGCCCGGGGCCGGTTCACCAAAATTGGGACCCGAGCCCGGACCCGCCCTACCCCCCGAGCCTAGGCCCGACCCGGACCCGTACCCGAGAACCGGGCCGGTCCCGGTCCCGCACAGTAGCGGGCCAGGCCGGTCCACGGGCCGGGTGGCCCGACCCGAGTCCAAGCCTATCTGTGAGTCGATGTTCACAGACAAAAAAAAACCTTTCACAAATATAGGTGTGTACAAAAGTGTGTATAAGAGTGTGTACAAAAGGCTTTTTTGTATACTCCCTCCGATCCCAAATGAAATTCACACTTTCCTTTTTGGGTAGGTCCAAAATAAACTTCACACTTCCTCTCCCTTCCTTATTTAGCAAATTATCTACATCAAAACAGTGTAAAACAGTGCAAAACAATGCAAAACAGTGTCAAACAGTGTCAAACAATGTTACAACAGTGTACTCTACAGTAAAGTCAAATTTATTTCTTTAATTTGTGTGAAATCAAAGTGTGAATTTCATTTGAGACATGATATCGTGAGCTGGCTGCGGGGTTTGTTGCACGGGCCTGGCTGTATGGTCCCGCTGTGATAGCACAGCTACTTTATGACGTACGTACACCAGGTCCATACCGACTCCGTATGTATGTATTGCCATTATAAAATCTGTATTGTTCCTATACGTAAGGTACGGCCTTACTACTATACGGAGTATTTTCTAGTTATTTTTTTAGTTCCCATCCCCTGGCCAGCTGCTTAATACAAGACCAACACTAACATATACACGATAGTATATATTTTCAATTCAGTGTTACAATAATAATCAACAGATATGGTATTTTCAAAATTCGAAATAATAAATAAATAAAAACTTATAATAATAGAAATTCCGATCACCGGTCATTGAAACGTCGTTTTTATTCCTTATTATGAATCTCGTTTCTTTTTTATTGAAAGAATATATAAGTATTAACATTAAATGTACCTCATAAAATATACTCCGTATATACTTATTATTATTTTGGATTACACTCAAAATGTTAAAAGTACATTAAGAACACGATCCATATACTTTTGCTCCAAAAACATATTTTTGAATTAGTATCACCAAAATCGTTTTCTTTATAAAATAAAAAAGAAGGATTACAACACATGATTTTTAAAAGCGAAAAAACATTAACTTTATTTTATTAAAAGATTAATTTAAAAGTGTTCCACGATTTTCATTCTATTAATTAAATCAAACAATCCCAAAACCTCCTTTCTACTTACATATTAGTGCTAGTATTGAATTTAGTTTGACGCACACAACGACTTTAGTGTCGCGAGGTACCGAGGGTTGGGTAGCCCCCCGGTTCCAACTGGCCCTGATCCCGGTAAAAATATTGGGCGGATTTGGTTCGGGCTGGTCCTGAAAAGGAACTGCCCATAATTTTAAGGATAATAATTGGCTACATGGCTTATTTGCAAGGACGATCAATTCTCAAACAAAGGGTTTTAGTAATCTATATCATACATGGAATGCTTTGATCTACACTTCGGTCTCAAAAAGGGTCAATTACACCCTAGCTAAGTCACACAGTTTCTATCAAACGCAATTACACATGAACCTTGACGCTCCAAACAGACGTAATCCCTGCTATATGATGAGTATGTGTCTTTTTAAAATACACCACACCACCATCAACATCATAAGGTGTAACCTGCACTTAAGATATAGGTCTACCAAAAGAAAATCCTGCACTATAGAGCTGACCTAATAACTGAAGCTGGCTTAGGATCTTCAGCGAGCAGACATTGCTTCATTTCTTCAAGACAGCAGAAGTTCGGTCCAGGCCTGAAAGTAGAGGGCGTTTTTGGTCCGATGTGCATATAAGGTCATCTTTTGAATATGATAAAGCTGCATAGCACAAAAAATACCACCAAATATGTGCATCACAAAGTTATCTGGGGTCGGAAATGTTGCTCCTCGTCCATTACTTTTAGCATTTTGACAACTTTCTCACTGACATCCCCATAAACTTGGGAGACTATAGAAGAAGGTTCTGATACTACGATGGGGACACCTTCATCACAACCACTTCTGATCCCTACTTCTAGTGGCACCTATATCAAGTAAACTTAATATGATCGGCAACAGTATACATGAATAAATATCCTATGTTAACAACAAGAGCAAACAACCAAGTAATTTACACCTGCCAAATCCTATTCATCAAAACAGTACGGATGAAAATAATCCTAGTTTGTAACACCTCAATTTTTGTGAACTAGTTATATTAGTTGTTATTATTTTGTCAGTTAAGTAAGTTCAAGTAAGTTTCTCCTGCCAAAGGAGGTCACGGATTCGAATCTCATCTCAGTTCAAGGATGTTGGCCTTAACAGAACAAATACTATAATAGGTTAGAAAGCTTTGCCAAAAAAAGTAAGTTTCTCATATGAAGAATGTGATATATTATTTTATCATTTTTTGTTTGTAGCAGATAACGTTGAGCGGTAAGCTCTAATACTTCAAGTGAATAAAAAAAAAAGAAATTTTATCAATTTAGGACCCGAAAGATAGATTAATTATCAATTCGGGACCTGAAAGATAAAATGCATCGATATAGGACCCGAATGATGAAAAACTATCAATTTAGGACCTGAATGATTGAAAACTATTAATCTAGGACCTAAGTTGTCATAATTTTTTTATTAAAAAATTTTAAATATTATTTCGTTTTATTAAACTAATAAACTTTTGTGAAGAAAAGTTTATCAAAAATTAGTAATGGAGTTAATAAAAAACTAAATAAATCAAAACCTATGAAACGTTAGGTCCTAAATTGATAGTTTTCCATCATTCGGGTCCTGTACCGATACGTTTCATCTTTCGGGTCCTGAATTGATAATTAATCTATCTTTCGGGTCCTGAATTGATAAAATTCCATAAATAAACATTAGTTTAGATTATCAGTGTATTATCGAAAGGGTGAAATAATAATTCAGTTGGGCTAGAAGCATTATTTAGAAGACTTAGAGGCCCAAATTTATATACCTTGACCCATTTAATAGAAATATTTTCAAAGACTAAGGCCCCTGGTCTGCGTTTATATGCATTATATGAATGAGCTTAAGGGAAAAAACTAGTTCTTGCACCTCTTGAACTAGTTATATTAGTTGGTATTATTTTTGTCAGTTAAGTTCAAGTAAGTTTCTCTCTTGGTTTAAAAAAGCGCACCAAAGGCGCGAGGTGCCTCTGGCGATGACTTCATCGCATCCAAACATCCCAGGCGCAGCAGATTCCATAAGGTGCTCCTTTTACCTCGCCTAGTGCCACCTTTTGCGCCTCTTTGAGGAGTCACCTTTCACGCCTTATGGAATATGTCCGCTGAACTTCCTTCAAGCCTTTTGGCGATTCATCCTGCTAGATTTCCAAAACTTTTGTAGGGTATTATATATATGTAAGGTAAGGTTACTTCACTCCATCAACTCAAAGTCTCAAATCTTAAGCTCTATTTGTCGCAGATCGCTGTTTATGTTTCTTTTTCTTCCGTCTTTGTTTTTTTTTGTTCGGTTGCGTACGTTTCTTTCTTCTGTTCTCTTTGTGGTCTTTCTTCCGCTAGTCTTTATGTTCTTTATGTTTTTATTTTTTAAATAAATAAAATAATTCAAATTTTGTAAATATAACCATATAACAATCTTCCCTAAACCCTAATCCCAATCGGAATTTTATCAATTTTAAAAAATAATAAATATGGTTTGTCGAATCTGTGAAACTGATTGTTTAACTTTATACTCTTGATACTTTATAAGTTTATTATATAACAATTAGTCAATTATATATGACAGATTGTTGTTATTAATAATCTTAATATAAAAGTTTATTTAAAAATTTACTTTTAATTGCTTAGGATTAGTATCAAGTATTAACAGTTTATTGTAAATATATTTACTATTAAGAGAAGTATTTTTTAGAAGAGTGCTTCATGTAGAAGTTGTATAAATATATTTTACCAAAGATAAGTGGTTTAGATCAGTGAGGCGCGCATCTCGTTGCCTTGCGCCTCGTGCCTCGGGTAAATCGATGAATCGCCTCATGCCGCCTCGCGCCTTTTAAAAATAGGGTTTCTCCTGCCAAGTACTTTGTGATCTGATGGTATCACTATGACACTTCCAAAGAGGAGATCACGGGTTCGAATCTCATGTCAGTTCAAGGATGTTGGCCTTAACATAACAGATACTATAATAGGTTAGAAATCTTTGCCAAAAAAAGTAAGTTTCTCCTATGAAGAATGTGATATATTATTTTATCATGTTTTGTTTGTAGAAGATAACGTTGAGCGGTAAGCTCTAATACTTCAAGTGAATAAATAAACGTTAGTTTAGATTATCAGTGTGTTAATAATAATTTATCGAAAGGGTGAAATAATAATTCAGTTGGACTAGAAGCATTATTTAGAAGTAGAGGCCCAAATTTATTTACCTTGACCCATTTAAATTTAATAGAAATATTTTCCAAGACTAAGGCCCCAGGTCTGCGTTCATATGCATTATATGAATGAGCTTAAGAAAGGGAAAAAACTAGTTCTTGCACCTCTTGTTCCGTTTCCCTGCACCTGAGCTGTCTTTTCTCTCAGTCGTGCTTTGAGGATACTCCTCCAACCTGTATGTCGTTCCACAATCTTTCCTTATTTTGAATGTTTTGAATTTTTTAGGGATGTTTAGTTACATTCGTGTATCTCTATTAGAGGATGGATTTGGAGTTTACCATCAACGATCTTCTTAGTTTCCAATTGGTTCTATTACTTTTAAATTGATTAGGGCAGAGTCATTTAAGTATTTGGGGTGCGCCTATTGTTGGTCGGATTTTCAAGTTTAGATTTAACAAACTGATCATTAATCAAGATAACTTATTTGGGAGTGTTCTTTTTTGGGAGTAGAATCTAAAAGAATAGGATCAGTTCATCCATGCTTGTTTTTAAAAATTTTCTATCTGTTCACGTTGTTGATTCTAAAGCATCTAGTCTTTTTAAACTCCAAGGGATGGTTTCTATTTGTTTTAATTTTGAAGGTCATAACTGTGAATTAATTAGTTGATGCATAGGGATTTCAAAATAGGAGAATTCCATTTTCTTTATATCCAGAGTTTCCAAGTTTAAATGTTTTCTCACAATTGGATTGGTATACTACTGCACACCTATTATTATGGCATAACTACTTTCAAGTTTCATTTAGAATTTATGTTCAGTATGAGCAACGATTTCCTTAGTCTATTAGTTTCGTTAAGATTGTTCCATTTTACCTTTTCAATCCGTCCCACTGAGATTGACTCATACCAAATTCGGTACAGTTCGTACGACTATAAATCATTCTTACTTTATTCTTACTTCATCAATTCAAT